AAACATCTACAGCCAACTTATATTTGATCAAGGATCTAAAACTAATTCCTGGAGCAAGGACAGTCTATTCAATAAATGGTGCTGGGAAAACTGGATTTCCACGTGCAGAAGCATGAAGCAAGACCCCTACCTTACACCTTACACAAAAATCCACTCAACATGGATTAAAGACCTAAATCTACGACCTGACACCATCAAGTTACTAGAGAACATTGGAGAAACCCTTCAAGATATTGGCACAGGCAAAGAATTTCTGGAAAAGACCCGGGAGGCACAGGCAGTCAAAGCCAAAATCAACTATTGGGATTGCATCAAATTGAGAAGTTTCTGTACTGCAAAAGAAACAGTCAGGAGAGTGAAGAGACAACCGACAGAATGGGAAAAAATATTTGCAACCTATGCAACAGATAAAGGGTTAATAACCAGAATCTACAAAGAGATCAAGAAACTCCACAAAAACAAAACCAACAACCCACTTAAGAGATGGGCCAAGGACCTCAATAGACATTTTTCAAAAGAGGAAATCCAAATGCCCAACAGGCACATGAAAAAATGTTCAAGGCCATTAGCAATCAGGGAAATGCAAATCAAAACCACAATGAGGTTTCACCTCACCCCGGTTAGAATGGCTCACATGCAGAAATCTACCAACAGATGCTGGCGAGGATGTGGGGAAAAAGGGACACTAACCCACTGTTGGTGGGAATGCAAACTGGTCAAGCCACTATGGAAGTCAGTCTGGAGATTCCTCAGAAACCTGAAGATAACCCTACCATTCGACCCAGCCATCCCACTCCTTGGAATTTACCCAAAGGAATTTAAATTGGCAAACAAAAAAGCGGTCTGCACCCTAATGTTTATTGCAGCTCAATTCACAATAGCTAAGACCTGGAACCAACCTAAATGCCCATCAACGGTAGACTGGATAAAGAAATTATGGGATATGTACTCTTTAGACTACTATACCACAGTAAGAAACAACGAAATCCAGTCATTTGCAACAAAATGGAGGAATCTGGAACACATCATGCTGAGTGAAATAAGCCAGTCCCAAAGGGACAAATACCATATGTTCTCCCTGATCAGTGACAACTGACTGAACACCAAAAAGGAAACCTGTTGAAGTGAAATGGACACTATGGGAAACGGTGACTTGATCAGCATAGCCCTGACTGTTAATGAACAACTTAATACATTATCCCTCTTAGTAGTTTTTTTGTCTGTTCTACTTAATATGACTGGTTTAATTGTGTAATTAATACACAGTTATTCTTAAGTGTTGAAAATTAACTGAAATGTGATCCCTGTTAAACATAAGAATGGGAATAAGAGAGGGAAGAGATGTATAATTTGGGACATGCTCAAGCTGACTTGCCCCAAATGGTAGAGTTAGAAACATACCAGGGGATTCCAATTCAATCCCATCAAGGTGGCATGTACCAATGCCATCTCACTATTCCAAGTGATCAATTTCAGTTCACAATTGATCATAATGAAAGGACTAAGAGTCAAAGGGAGCACATAAACAAGTCTAGTACCTGCTAACACTAACCGATAGAATAAATAAAGGGGAGAGTGATCCAACATGGGAAGTGAGATACTCAGCAGACTCATAGAATGGCGGATGTCCTAAATAGCACTCTGGCCTCAGAATCAGCCCTAAAGGCATTCGGATCTGGCTGAAAAGCCCATGAGAGTATTTCAGGCATGGAAAGCCAAGACACTCTGGCAAAAGATCTCTGTGAGTGAGATCCCAGTGGAAAGAACAGGTCTTCAAAGAAGGAGGTACCTTTCTCTGAAGGGAGGAGAGAACCTCCACTTTGACTATGACCTTGTCTAAACAAGATAAGAATCGGAGAACTCAGAGGGCTTCCATAGCCTTGGAAACTCATGACTGGAGCATAGGGAGATTACTGATGCCATAGACAGGAGTGTCAATTGGTAAAGTCAACAACAGGAGTCACTGTGCACTTACTCCTCATGTAGGATCTCTGTCCTTAATGTGCTGTGCATTGAGATTTAATGCTATAACGAGTACTCAAACAATATATTTCACTTTGTGTTTCTATGGGGGTACAAACTGTTGAAATCTTTAATGCATACTAAACTGATCCTCTGTAAAAAAAAAAAAAAAAAAGAAAAAAGAAATTATCAACTCCCAACTTGACTCTCACTGGGATTAAACATGACAATAGGTCTGCTCTGATTTCATCATCGTTTAAAAAAAATCATCTATTATTTTTCACTTTATGTTTCTGTGTGGGAGCAAACTGTTGAAATCCTTACTTAATGTATACTAAGCTGATCTTCTGTATATTAAGATAATCGAAAATGAATCTTGATGTGAATGGAAGGGGAGAGGGAGTGGGAAAGGGGAGGGTTGTGGGTGGGAGGGACGGTATGGGGGGAAAGCCATTGTAATCCATAAATCGTACTTTGGAAATTCATATTCATTAAATAAAAGTTAAAAAAATAAATAAAAAAAAATGGACATAAAAAAAAAAAAAGAATCCACTTGGGAACTCCTATATGTTGTATCACAGTGTCTGGGTTCAGGTCCCAGCTCCACTCCTGATTCCAGCATCCACTAATGCATACTCTAATAGGCAGCAGGTGATGGCTCAAGTATTTGGGTCACTGCCACCCATGTGGGAGATCTGAACTGAATTTTGGTTTCCTGGTTTTGGCCTGGCCTGGTCTTGCTGTTGAGGTTTATTTGGGGAGTTAGCCAATGAATGAAACATACACCCCACCTCTGTTTCCTCCCACCCCCCACCTTTTAAATAAAATAGATAATTAAAAAGAAAAAAAACTCTTCACATGAAATTCACACAATCCTTACAGATATAGCACATGGCTGGCAAAAACAGATCTTTCCAATTCTTTTGGCTTCAAAATTTTTCCGAATCCTCACCAGTCCTTGCCTCCATCTGTCCTACATCTCAGAACATTGAGTCTCTGTAAGGCCAAGCTTTCCCTCTGGTCTTCCTGGGACCTGAACTCTCCTGCCAGCTCAGAATTTCTCTCAATCATCAAATATTTATTGAGTGCTCACTACTGACTGGCACAATTCTAGGTGCTATGGATAAACATAAACAAACACCGCTTGTTTCTGTAAGAGTTTATGTGCTAGTGCAGGAAGTCTAGGAATGAACACAAAAACTGTTTCACATGGTGATTAATGCTATGGGGGGTGGGGATAAAGAAAAGAGTGAGAGGCAGAGAACAATGCTGCACTAAGTGGTAGAGGCTTCAACTTTACTAGGTTAATAGCAAGGTAAGTGACACAGCAGCATTTTCTCAGACACAGAGGAGGCAAGGAAGAGCAGAAAAGAGGAAAGAGAAGTGGGGTCAGAGGGCTCCTCCCACACCAGTGTGTCCACTGGGAAGAGAAGTGAGGTCAGAGGGCTCCTCCCGCACCAGTGTGTCCCCTGGTAGGACACGTTTGTTAGAGAAGTGGGGTCAGAGGGCTCCTCCCGCACCAGTGTGTCCAATGGGATTACACGTTTGTTAGAGAAGTGGGGTCAGAGGGCTCCTCCCACACCAGTGTGTCCACTGGGAAGACACGTTTGTTAGAGAAGTGGGGTCAGAGGGCTCCTCCCGCACCAGTGTGTCCCCTGGGAAGAGAAGTGGGGTCAGAGGGCTCCTCCCGCACCAGTGTGTCCACTGGGAACAGAAGTGGGGTCAGAGGGCTCCTCCCACACCAGTGTGTCCACTGGGAACAGAAGTGGGGTCAGAGGGCTCCTCCCGCACCAGTGTGTCCACTGGGAAGAGAAGTGGGGTCAGAGGGCTCCTCCTGCACCAGTATGTCCACTGGGAGGACACATCTGTTAGAGAAGTGAGGTCAGAGGGCTTCTCCCGCACCAGTGTGTCCACTGGGAGGACACATCTGTTAGAGAAGTGAGGTCAGAGGGCTCCTCCCGCACCAGTGTGTCCACTGGGATGACACGTTTGTTAGAGAAGTGGGGTCGGAGGGCTCCTCCCGCACCAGTGTGTCCCCTGGGAGGACACGTTTGTTAGCCGCGGGAGGCTCAGGGCAGCTCAGGAAAGCTGCAGCCATGCTTGCCTCACTTCTACAGCCCTGCCTTCCACGGTGCCTGGGTTACAAAGAGTGCTGGAAATTTTTTATAAAACTGTTTTGTTTGTATTACATCAGCTGGTGTGATCACTGCCTCACCTCCTCTCTGCTGAGGTGTCAATACCTATGGGGAGCCCACAGTGGCTGCACACCCCACCCACACATCTGCAAGAACCACACAAAGGATCTGTGCAGTCTTCAGTGTATGCACAGAACCCTCTGCAATGACCCGCCCAGGCACTTGGGGAAATCACAGTGATTGCCCAGAGACCTAGCTACACTCAACACACTACCAAGTCGTCACAGAATTCCCAGTCACAGCACGTGGGGCTCCCACAGTCATAGGGAGCAGGAGATCCACTCAGCCCTGCAGGCTGCTCTGTCCTCGGAGAGACCCAAGGCATTCCCAGAGCCCGCTGCCTGTTGCTGTTCTGCCTTGAAGTCTGAGTATAGGCGCCAGTGATATAGACAGTAATAAAAGAGTACAAAAAATGTAATGTATCTGAGTTAAACTGACATTTTATGAACTGATTGTTTTTTACAGTTCTTGTCTCTACTGTTGGGGAACAGTATTCTTTTCTTCTTCTTCTTCTATTTGTTGAATTCTTTACTCAGTGGAGGGTTAAGCTTACGATAATAAAATAAACTGAAAGTACGTCACTGAAAAAATTAAAAGAAAGAATAAGAAAGGAAGGAGAAGGGAGGGTGGGAGCGAGGGCAGAAGGGAAGGAAGGGTGGGAAGCATCACTGTGATACTAAATCTTCTCATGAAGTACCTGAAATGTGTTCACCTTATACAAATAAAACATTTTAAATACAATCTATTAAAAACTAAAAGATTGTTTTGTGTTCACCTGAGCCAAACAGTCCATTAATAACTACTTATGTGTGCATCTATGTGGAGTCTAATGTGACTACTTACCATTAGCCAGGATCTTGGGCTTATTAGCAGGACTAAAGCAAATATTGTGAAAGATGAGAAGCGGTATATAAGGACTGCTCTTGTGCTTGTACTGGCTCATTTCAGTCAGCAAGTCTAAACAGCCGTCAAGCCTCAGGATCATCTGCTGTCCATCCTCTCCAGACGACATATTCAGGAGAAGCTTCAGCCAGAGAACAGTCAGATTGCTGAGATGTTTATTTCCTCCTTTTGGCAATGTTAGGGAGAGAAAGTTCTGTAGGAAGTTACTCTGTGGGTAAACAGAGAGAGTGTTATTTTCCTCCGGAGTCTTCTTCATTATCTTCCTAGTCCCTTAGTGACCAATTAACTACCATTCTGATACATTTTTCACCAACTTTAATTTTTTTCTCCCTCCTAATACTTCCTAAATGCTCCATATATATTATTTCTGAGTGGATGTGGGAAAGGTAAAGAGAAAAACACATTGTCCAAATTTTAACTCTTGCTAATTCTTTCCTGATGATGGCTAAAGTAAACTATAGTGAAGTCTTAATTATTTAGGATTTTAGGATTGATAATTCAGTTTGGAGAACTGTATCCGGCCTCTTGAGTTTTCTCTTTTTGTCTGCCTTCTGGCAATTTTGCTACTCATTAAAAGCTATCCTACTGAGAAGAAAAAGAAATAAACCTCAAATCAATCCTGGATACTTGTTAACAACTCCAATGTTAGGGTACCTTGAATCATTATAGCTACAACATTGTTTTTTATAATCTGTGGTACATTTCATGTAGCAGTTTTTATATAGCAGTTGTTTATCATTGCAAATAACTTCTCATAGATACATGTCATTCTGATATATTTATAAGAATAGTAATACAGACAATACAACTCTCCTACTTGAACTGTAAGAGTCATTTCAATCTCCCAATGAAGTCTCTTCCACAAAAATCTCACCTAACCCTAAACCATATGAAAGATAATAGGTTACTGCATAGAATAACCTACATGAAAACCAAGTACAAAAAGACTACATCCAGTGCAAGCCCATGATAGTATGGAAACTGTAGTTGGTCAGGTATTTCAGAAATGAGATGCAATCACTTAACATTTGTAAGTACACAGAATAGTTCATTTCTCTCTCTCTCTCTCTCCTTCTCTTCCCCCACCCCCACCGCCTCCCTCCCTCCAACAATCTACTCTAGTTTATCTCTTGGATTCTCCAAACCTAAATCAAGATATTGGCCATAACTTATAAATTTAATACTTTCACATAAAATGATTCTGACTCTAAAAACTACAGAAATATTAGAAATATTACCCAAGTAACAACTGTAAAAGTGCATGACCACTGAACTGTACTCACTGTCATTTATACCTACTTTTCATCTCTCAGCCCAGACTGATGCTTTTTCTAGATTCTTCCTTTTCTTTTCTATTTGGCTACCATGATCGTGGAAATTTTAAGCTTGACAATGGTGATAAAATATATAGGTCAGTGCTTTAAAATGTAAACGTGCCAGGGCAGCCCAGTGGCATAGCAGGTTAGGCTACCACCTGTGTCACCAGCATCTCATATGGGCAATGGTTCAAGTCCTTGCTGCTCCACTTCCAGTCCAACTCCCTGCTGATGTGCCTAGGAAAGCAGCGGAAGATGACCCCAGTGCTTGGCCCCTGCACCTATGTGGGAGACCCAGAGGAAGCTCCTGGCTCCTAGCTTCAGCCTAGACCAGCCCCCCACAGTTGTGGCCATCTGGGGAGCCAATGGATGGAAGATCTCTCTCTCTCTCTTTCTCTCTCTCTTTCTGTAACCTTGACTTTCAAATAAATAAATCTTAAAAAAAATAAAATGTAAATGTACTGTGGGCATTCCTTCTCTTTGCTGGGCTTAAAGATGATTTTAGGTAATTTCCTACTAGGCAGAATATATATAAATTCACCACTAGGAAGAAATGGAATATTTAGAACCTGAGTTGTACAACAAACTAGCTACATTTTCCAGTATGTGTAGATGAGTAACGGACAGGTATGACTGCAAGTAACCAGGCTAATTCTCACTTAACATAGTAAAGGGAGTCTTAATTAAATCAAAGGAAGATGACTTTGTAAGCATATTGTATCAAAATATTTTAAGTATAGTACTAGAGCCATAGATTGAGAATTGAAGACACCTTATCCCAATTATTGTAAAATTGGAAAAAAGACATAAAAAGAGAAGAAGTGTCCAGGTCTAAGTACAAACCAGACTCAAGATTAGCACTGACATTCCATTTGAGGGTGCCCGCTCTGCTTTCTACCTTTCATTTTGAGAGGCAGAGATCATACACATCCATATCAAAATGACTTCTCTGTACATGCACGTGAATACATAGATATGTATATGTAAATATAAGTACATTCTAATATATGTGTATATGGGACACACACATATGAGCATTGGTCTGAAGAAAACTGTGTGCTATGTGCTGGTAGGTAACAACTGTTCCACTGGGGGTAGGAGGGATCTCTGATCTGTAGCATTTGTGGATTACATGATGTGAACATTCTCACCACTACTGCTTTCAAGGCACAATATTGTGAAAACATAATGATGGCACTCGTGAGGCAGTGGGAGCTGGCTCTAGCACACAACTGAAAACATCCTTCCTAAGACAGACCCATCTTTCCATTTCCTTAGTGAGAATGATCTTTCCACTTATTTTGTGATTGCACTGAAAACATCTTTGGGGAATTCAGAAAGATCTACCAAAGGAGACTCAATTTTCATAAGTAGTGTCAATTTTTGCAGTTGATCTGGGCCTTCACATAAAATAAATGGAAGCATTCAAATGACTATCACTAATAAATAACAATAATCTGATAACATCCAAATGTCAAGGAACGTCCCCAATTATGGCTTCTGTTTATACATTTCTAAACCTAGACCCTGCACACTGCACTAATTTAACTCCTTCCATCTATTTTAAGTTCCATGTTAGAATCAATGATAAGAAGTCTTGGAAATGAAGTCCCAGATAACTAATAAAATTTCATATTATGTCATAAAGAAGTTAAAGGCCTAACTAGAGGAAAAGGGGCTGTGATTTCATAAGCCATTTTATCAATGTAAATTGAACTGAAATTGTTACTGCTCAATTTGGTCTGTTAAAGGACCAAATATACTACTTTTATGATCTCCAATAAATGTAAGCCAGCTGTCTTGCTAAAACCCTTGTTTTTGACAGAGACGAAATAATCCAAAAACTAAGAGGATAAACTAAAAAGAAATGGCATGATCATCATATTCTAGCTTCTGTCATTTTCCATGTATCATCTATCAACTGGCTTTAAGCAAAGCAAATCTCTTAATCCTTTTACAATCCTTTAAAATGTCTTGAAATCATAATAAATTAATTTTAGAACTTGAGTCCTAAATTTTGATTGGTGTAATTATTTTAGGGGCTATCTACTTTATGATATGTAGGAGAGACTAAGAACATACCTTCTGAATGACTCCTTTGCAGTCATGAGACAAGGCCAGGTTTGAAAGAAACATGAAAACCATCTGCTGAACTGTGGTGTTCTCGAGAGGCACCTGGGAAGCCAGCTTTAGGATGCACAGCATCAGAGAGCTGCTGGGGGCTCCTCTGTGTGCAGCCTGAACAGGGTGCTGTCCGTAACTTGACCAACAGAGAGAGCTGCAACCTTCAAAAGTAACAGCGCATGACAACCTCTTTCCAGTGTCACCATTCAGTTTAAAAATACCAAGCGGTAAAGCATATCTGTCTATCAAAATGACCTGGTCATTAACCTGTGAACCGCCAATTAACCCTGAAGGCTAACGTTGATGTCTACATTCATTCAACCTAATACATTCACTGTGCTCATGGAGGGCCTAATTTGTGGGGAGCAACTCGGACTAGACTAAGTTACTGGAATTAAGACTTATTCTATGCATCTGCTCTCCCACAATATGGCGCTGGGAGAGAAGAAAACAGCTTCTGCACAGCTGCCTCCAGTTCAGCCAATAAACTGTGGGACTTGCTCCTGATTGGAGGAGAGCAGCGTACTCGGCGTGTGGGCAGCCGAGTTGGGATTGGCAGAAGAGGATTATAAAGGAGGAGAGAGACGGCATGCACCAGGAACATCTAAGGGGAACACCTGTGCAGCCCCCGAGAGAGCCGGCCGGCGGTGTGCCGCTCCCCCGCGGAAGTGGGGGATGTGGCAGGGGGAACCACCCTTACACGGAGGTGGAAGGGTCGGCAGCCAACCCGGGAAGAACCAGCAGCAAACCCGGGGAGGGCCGAGCAGACGAAAGAACAACGCAGGGTCCTGTGTCGTTCCTCCATGAAGAGGGGGAGTGACATAATTAACTCAACAGAACATTTTTAAGACATCAGGTTTCTTTCTTTCAAAGTAATAAGCATAAGAGATTTTTGATAGTTTCTAATGCCATATAAAGGCCTCCACAGCAGTTAAGATATGGAAGGTAACATGGTCTAATGACTTCATTTTGTAGAAGAAACTGAGGAACCTACCATCCCTGAGATACAGGGAGCAGTACAAATACTGCTTTCCACACCAGGTAGACAGACAGAGCTCAGAAAGCCAGTGAGTCACTCAAGGTCACACAGCTCACAAGCACAGGACCCAGCAGACACATCTACTGCCCATCCAGAGTCTAGTGTTTCTTCAATAAATTAGGTAACCACATGAGATTTATTCAGGGAGAAAAATAATCATAGAAGAATTAGAAATGTAATTTGAAAAAAAAAGAAATTTATTTTATTTATTGTTCAATCAGTAAGACTATATTGTAACATAAACTTAAGGCATAATTCACTTGTAAAGTTCACATAAGGAGGTCAGCTTAAGTATAATTAGAATAGAAACCAATATAATATGCAAAATAAACTCAAAGATAAGTAAACAAATAAAACATAGTGATCTTTCTTGTATTCATAACTTTATAGCAGTATCGAAATACCAAAGTTTCCATTAACTGTTACACAAAACTGACATTAAATGATGCAGTTTTGTTTAGAATCAGATAGGAAAATAAAATGTCTTTGTCAATTTTATATAACCTAACCATTTCTAATATTCACAATGATTTTCAGTATGAAAACAACACAAATTAGTTTCAAAAGACTTGTATTAAAGTGTATATTTCCCTTGCTTAATTCTTAATGACCAATTCCTTGTTCCTCCTAACTCCCCTATCTCTGAATAACAGACAGAACTCAGTAAAGGAGGACAAGGCACAGACAGATGCCACTGGCTCCTTCTCATCTCCCTTTCGTGCTGATTTCTCTTCTTTGATCAGCTCCAACAGGTGATGTACTCCAGAGCTTAGAAATGAGGCTCTCCCTCTGTGTCTAGGTATTCTCTCTAGATAAACTCAAAGAGCCCCATGGCTTCCAGTTAAATGCAATCTCTTCGGACAGTGACTCCCAAGGTAGGCAGCCTTCAAAACGGCTCCAGTGGCCTTGCCTCAGACCTTTCCCTCCCTGAGCCAGGCCTGGTCTGTGTGACCGGAAGACAAGAGTGCGGTGTGTCCCTCCTGCACTGGATGACAGCAGACTATAGCCCAATCACTCAAGAACTTGCCTGCAGGGAAGCCAGCCTCCACAGTGCAAGGGAGCCTGTGGAGAGGCCTAGTTGGCAAGGAACTGAGGCTGTCAACAGCCATCCTTTACCCACCCCCACCCCCCAAAACAGGCAATGCACAGCCCAGTCAACACCTTAACTGAAACCTGTGAGAGAATCAGAGTATGAACCACTCAGCTAAGCTGCCTCAGACTGGTGAGTCACAGAAACTATCAGACAATTCGATGGCTGTAGTTTACAGGTGCTTAGTTTTAAGTACTTTGCCATTCAGCAATAGATAACTAATAAAACTCCCAACACTTTTATCTTCATTTTACCTCTCTGCTGAATTCAACTCGAACTTGGTATTTTCATTTTAATGAACAGACACCTCATATTTAACATGACCAAACTGAACTCGTGGGTTCTTCTTTTCCACATCAAATCTTCCCATATATTCAAGCCAGTTTCTCCCTATTTCCTATCTAGTGACTCTCCCATGTCAAGAAACACAGACTATTTGTCTGCTCTTATAATACCTAGAATAAAGTTCACCTGTGATCAACATATGCTCAGCATCCAAAAGAAACACTTCACAACAGCCATTAGTTTTTCTAATCCACATTAACAGCACTATGTAAAATCAAGATTTCAGTTTATCATTAAAAGAAAATACTGGATTATCTTACCATTTGGAAAATTTGCAGTATAGACACAAAGTAGCTGCAAGGCAATTTGTATCAGTGAATCATCCATCAAAAGCCAAGGCCAGAGAGAGTGCAAGACAGGGACAAGGTGAGCACCGAGAGCTGCTTCCTGTAGCGGAAGGAAAAAGTGACAGATTAGTGTGAAGATATGAAAATATAAAACTGAAATCAGATCCACATAGAGTTGTCACCAAAATAAAGGAAAACTGAATTTATCTTTGTTCTGATTGGTGTGAGAGGCACCAAGGTTCTGCAGATGGACTACTGCCTCAGGTTCAGCAGGCTTGTGGCGAGGAAATCTCAGGAAATCCCTTGAACACGAGGGGACTAGGACATGCCGCTTATGTGAGAAACGTAGAAAATTAATGCTGTCGTGTATAAACAAAGCAGGAGAGTGAGAGCTCACAATACGAATACACACTCTGATAAATGCTCTGCTACAGTCAAGCAATGGCAACTTGTGGTTAAGTAAAATCCTTATCAGCTCTGAGTAATCCTCTCTCACCCTGTTTCACCTCCTTCCTGCGCATCAAAAGTAAATTAGTTTGTCAATAATTTAAAAATAGTAAAATTCAGTTTAAATGTTATGTTAAATAAATAAATTCTTAACTCTTATCACAGATTAGTTACTACCAGGGCAACATATAGATAAAATACTTGAGTCCAGCAATATCTTTTTTTAAATAATTTTTATGTAATTAATATTAACAGATTTAGGAGCATGGTGATACTTTGAAGTGGCCAAGGCAACTTCCACTGTCTGACAAGGTCACAGCAGGACGTCTGCCTCCACAGGGCTTGAGAACTACAAGCTGCGGTCCTCTTGTTGGTTTTAGATTTATTGATATAAGAAAGCCAGAGTTTCCTGGTGATCTCGCGGCTGATCTCTATATTCTTGGAAATCTGCGAGAAACGAGCTCTGCTCAAAATGACCTCACTGACGGTTGAGCTGTTTGATGGACTAGATCCTCCTAGAGTAATTCAACCCCTTCTGATGCTTCAGTTATCTACAATAAAAGCCTAGCGGGAACTCCAAACTGTAGGGTGTATGAAATGCAGTTAGACCTGATTTAGGGACAAGAGGATCCTTGGCACTCTTCAGTCTCCTGCCATAATCCACTTAGAGCATGTCTTATCATAGACTAATGACCTGTAAATACCTTAGTTTGTGTGGCTTGGTGGAAAGAACATAAAGTAATTACCAAAATCAGGGAGCGAGTCTTAAATGAGCTACTAAAACTAAATAGTAATGAAGGGTTATGGAAAGGACATGTGTAATGAATGGGTTTGTTTGAGCAGGGTGTTAATGGTTACTAGTAAAATTAAAAAAAGGTAGATGTTCCAATCTTAGTAATCAATTGTTACAAGTAGTTGTTCTGATTCTTTGCAAAATAACCACTGCGTTTTTTGTAATGGGTTAATGTATAATTTAGAATAATTTTGTGTCTCTGTTCTACTGTATCTCAAATATTAAGTAAATCTTTAAAATCAAAGAAATTGTTACATGGCTATGGAAATCAGGATTAGGTAGGAGTTACACATAACATAAGATCAGTGGTTTAAAGTGGATGGGAAACAGACTTTGTTATTGTAAGGAAGAATCATTAACTGTTAGGATCACTAGTGAGCAGACATTTGCAGAATTTATGAGAACAGTAAAGAATGTGTAAAATGAACAGTGGATGTACCTTAGGGTATAGATATAAAGTCTGGTGCTCCCTCATCGGAGCCATGCCATCAGCCTTGCTGTGTGTCTCTCCTCGCCACATGGATGCCTCCCAACCTTCGGGAACTCCTGGACCTGCTGGAGCTGGCCTCCAGCAATACTTTCCACCCTCCCTCTTCCTCCTTATTCTCTCTTTTAATTTTTTACAGTGATATACTTTTTTTTTTTTGACAGGCAGAGTGGACAGTGAGAGAGAGAGAGAGACAGATAGAAAGATCTTCCTTTGCCGTTGGTTCACCCTCCAATGGCTGCGGCGGCCGGCGCGCTTCGGCCGGCGCACTGCGCTGATCCGATGGCAGGAGCCAGGAGCCAGGTGCTTTTCCTGGTCTCCCATGGGGTGCAGGGCCCAAGTACCTGGGCCATACTCCACTGCACTCCCTGGCCACAGCAGAGAGCTGGCCTGGAAGAGGGGCAACCGGGACAGAATCCGGCGCCCCGACCGGGACTAGAACCCGGTGTGCCGACGCCGCTAGGCGGAGGATTAGCCTAGTGAGCCCCGGCGCCGGCCACAGTGATATACTTTCAATTCATCTTAACCCTCTACTAAATAAAGAATGCAACAAAAAGAAAAAAAAAAAAAACCTGTTCCACAACAGTAGAAAAAAGGAATGTAAACAATAATCAGTTCTCAAAATGTCCATTTTGCAAATATATACTTTTTTTGTACTCTATTGGTGACCACAGATCAGGGAAAACATATGGTATTTGACTTTTGGAGAATGGCTCACTTCACTAAGTATAACTGTCTCCAGACAGGATTTCATTCATGTTTATGGTTGAGTGGTATTTCACATTGCATAAATAATCATATTTTCTTTATCCAGTCATAAGTTGATGGACATCTAGGTTGAATCCATATCTTAGCTATTGTGAATTGAGCTGCAATAAACATAGGAGTATAAATAACTCTTTCATATGCTGATTTCATTTCCTTTGGGCAAATTCCTAGAAGTTGGATGGCTGTGTCATATAGTAGATCTATTTTCAACTTTCTGAGGAATCCCCATATTATCATCCACAATGGCTGTACTAGTTTGCATTCCCACCCACAGTGGGTTATGGAACCTCTCCCCACACATTCTCACTTGTATTTATTGTTTGTAGATTTCTGTATGAGAACCATTCTAACTGGAATGATGTGATTTTTATTTCTCTGAAGGCTAGTGATCTTGAGCATGTTTTCATGTGTTTGGTGGACATTTAAACTTCATCCTCTGAAAAATGCCTGTTCATATCCTTTGTCCACTTCTTAACTGGATTGTTTGCTTTGTTGTTGTTAAGTTTCTTGACCTCTTCATAGATTCTGGGTATCAATCCATTATCGGTTTCATGGTTTGTAAATATTTTCTCCCACTCTGCTGGTTGCCTCTTCACTTTGTTCAGTGTTTCCTTTGCAATGCTGAAGCTTCTTAACTTGATGCAATCACATTTGTCTGTTTTGCTTTTGCTGCCTGTGCTTCTGGCATCTTTTACCTATGCTAATGTCTTGCAGAATTTCCCCAATGTTTTGCTCTAGTAATTTGATAGTATCAGGTTGTATATTAGATTATAGATCCACTTCGAGTTGATTTTTGTATAAAGTGTAGCTAAGGGTCTGGTTTCATATTTCTGCATGTGGAGATCTAATTTTCCCAGCACCTTTTTGTTGAAGAGACTGTATTTTTTCCAGGGATTTATTTTAGCCTGTCAAAAGTAAGTTGGTTGTAGATGCATAGATTGATTTCTGTTATTCTACTGGTCTACATGTCTATGTTTTTTTGCTGGTACCAGCCTCTTTTGATTATAACTGCCTGGTAGCATGTCTTGAAATCTGGTATTTTGATGCCTCTGCTTTGTTTTGGTTGTTTAAGATTGCTTTAGCTATTTACAGGGCTCTTGTGTTTCCATATGAATTTTAGCATAATTTTTTCTAGATCTAAGAATCTCATTGATATTTTAATTGGGATCACATTTAATCTGTAAATTGCTGTGAGTAGTATGGACATCTTGATGATATTAATTCTTCCAACCCATGCACATGGAAGACTCTTCTACTTTTATATTTTCTCTTCTACTTCCTTCTTCCATGTTTTGTAATTTTCATTGCAGAGCTCTTTCATCTCCTTGGTTAAATTTATTCCAAGGTATTTAAACATTTTTTTGTAGCTATTGTAAATGGGACTGATCTTACAAGTTCTTTCTTAGACATGGCATTGTCTGCATGTATACAAAGGCTATTGATTCTTACGTGTTGATTTTGTATCCTGTCACTTTACCAAACTCTCCAATGAATTCCGATAGTCCCTTGGTGGAGTCTTTGGTTTCTCTAATTTTAACATCATGTCATCTGCAAACAGGGATAATTTGAGTTCCTCCTTTCCAATTTGTATCCCCTTGATTTCTTTTTCTTGCCTAATAGCTCTGCCTGGAACTTCCAGGACTATATTGAACAGTAATGGTTGAAGTGTACATCCTTGTCTGGCTCCAGATCTTAGTGGAAATACTTCCAACTCTTCCCCATTGAATATGATGTTGGCTGTGAGTTTGTCAGATATTACCTTAAATGTGCTAAGGAATATTCCTTCTACTCAATTTGCTTAAGGTTTTTTTCATGAAAGGATACTGTATTTTATCAAATGCTCTCTCTGCATCTATTGAAATAATCATATGGTTTCTAGTCTTTAATCTGTTAATGTGATGTATCATATTTATTGATTTATTTATGGTGAACCATCCCTACATACCATGTATAAATCCCACTTGGTCTGAGTGAATGGTATTTCTGATATATTGTTGGATTTGATTAGTTGGTATTTTGTTGAGGATTTTTACACCTATGTTCATCAGGGATATTGGTCCTTAGTTCTCTTCCTTTGTTGTATTTTTTCCTGGTTTTGGAATTAAGGTGATACTGACCTCATAGAGGGAGTCTAGGAGGATTCCCTCCCTTTCAATTGTTTTGAATAGTTTGAGCAGAACTGGAATTAATTCTCGTCTGGTATAATTCATCAGTGAAGCCATCTGGTCCTGGGCTTTTCTGTTAGGAGGGTTGTCAGGAGGGAGCAATATCTTTTTTAATGAACAGGACTTACTGGGTTATATGCAGACCTATGCGCACACACGTGAATGCACATAAGTACACACACCTATGAAATGTAATGGGGTATCAAATGGCAGACCAGGTGGGAAGTTACTCCCAGTGTTCAGCTTTCTCCACAAGCTTTGATGCCATTCTCAGTGTTCTTTCCCAAGGTCTTTCTCATGTCACCATTCTGTGTAAACTTGGCACACACACCGCTATTTGCAGCAGATAAGCTTACATGCTATTTCATAGAGAAGAGAGCAGCAAATTACATGCAAATCCTATCTATCCTGCCCTTCTGTCCACACAATCTCTAGTTTCATCCATTCATCCTTCCTGCCTGCCCAGCAGTGAGCACATGCATTCCTCTTTTTGTCACAGATTGATACATCCTCTGTGTTCTGCATATTCCCCTTCCACCTCCTAGGGGTTCTTTATCCATGGATTATTTCTTTTCTTCCTGTTTCTTTAATAACTGCTTGCCAACTGGTTCTTTTTCCATTTGTATTTAGGCAGTTTAAATGTTGAAAAACAAACACTCTAACTTCCTTTAATGCTATGTGCTCTAAGTTATTAATGGCTTTTCATGACCAAGCTTCTAGAAAGAGCACTCTTACTGCTGTCATTTCTCCACCTTACATTTAATCTTCAACTAACTCCAATTTATCTCTGTCCTGATGATTTTATTGAGGCCACTTCAGCAAACACTCATGCACTGTGGCATTTACTACAGCTCTCTTTTTTCTTTATTTGCATGCTATTGCTCTGTACTGAATCATCTCCAAATTATGTCTTCAGCACTCTCCTTGGTTATTTTCTGCTTTCTCTGAAATAAGTATTTCCCAAAGATGGGACCTAGGCTTTCACTATACATTCTCTTGGGAAATTTCAACCACAGTCACCGCCATAGCAACATCTACATATTCCTACTATCCCCAACCTACATGACTCTTCAGAGTCCCAGATTCAAGTGTTCTGCTGACTACAAGTGTCCTCAACTAGACCTCCCTGTAGAGAGGCTGCCTAAGTGCCTCTCCAGGTGGGACACACCCCCTGAAATTAGAGGCATAGCCTGCTCAAACAGGCTGGGGCTGGGCACACCTACCCCAAAGGAATGTGCAGCATGAGCAGCAGGGGGCTAATGGACAGGAATTGGTACCTGGAGTATTTTCGGAAATTTGTACATTTGCATGAGCTTCTAAACAGGCCTGTCTCTGAAGATTTACAACACAGCTCTAATCCCTATGTTAGTCCACCAGACCGAATTTCTTTTCCCAAATCCTGAAGTGGATGTATAACCTTGCCTATGTGCCTGCCGGCTTGTAGACTTGCTGGTACCCTCTAAATAAAAGTGGGAGCACATAGCTATCCAGTGGCGTGCTCTTAGAATGGACACTCCCATGTCCTGTCCCCTCATCTGAAAAACCCCACACGTCCCAAAGGGATCTCCACTAGTATCTGCACAACTGAGCACCTGTCTCTCAAACCTACGCTCGACTCTGCCACGTGATCTTGCACTGGGAATCACTGGATCTGGAGTCTGGAAGTCATTCCACATTTCTGTTTTCTCCTCAAGACATCGAATCTATGCTCCACTTCCTTCCCTTTCCTGCTTGCCAAGGTTAAGGTCTTTTACCCGGCCTATCACAGTCCTTTCCTTCTATCCATAAAAATGTAAACTCCATGCTTGTAACTAGTAGCCAGGTTGGCATTTCCTAAATCTCTACACGTAGATCCTGTCTGGGAAGTATTTCACAGTATTCCCTGAGTGAAGGATCATCAATGAATATTGACTGTACCAAGTCACAATGATACGATTTGGCATTATAAATTCAGTAAACACCTCTATTTTGAGAAAAAGTTCATAAAATTCATATACTGGGAATCTTAATAAAGTATATAAATAAATACTTCCATCAGATTGTTTCAAAATATAAATTGTTAGTCATGAGTCTTGTTATTTAACATAGCCTATGGAATCTGTGTTTAGCATGTTCATGTCCCAGACATATTTTTTCCAGTTTTACTACAAGTAAGGGCCAAAAGCTAAGGAATTAGAAAACAAAGAAGCTTCTATAATTTAACTTTGCTTTACTCATTTTCCACAGTACTTCCACATTAAAGAATTAATCCAGTGCTTCAAAAGTGTTGTACCAATACAGATCAAGCAAATCAAAATGATCAAAAGATTCTATCCTATGCAGTACTAACACAATAGTTTAAAATGACAGCACTCATGCTTACAGAAAAAGAAAATACCTCAATGGTTTTCAGATGGGGAGCTCTGTACCTGTCACAGGGAGTCAGCAGAACCATTCTAGGCAGCAGCTATAAATACTTTCTACTCTGAGGCAGGAAACATACTCATCTTCTCCCCTTATAGCTACAAATACCGCTACTTACGCTTCTAGAGAATAGCTCTGAAAAGGCCCCTTTAAAGAATCTACCTTATAAGGCACACATTCATTCATCCTAATTACAAAAAGACACATTTAGCAGAAGAGTACAGAATGAAGCTGAAGTCTGTGAAGGTGAAGTTTCAGTGATAAGATTAAGGTTAAACACTGATGTAGCCGAGAAATGTAAACTGTATTGAAGCATAAAGAAATCTGGAGCATCTATGTCTCTGAATTAATACTGAGCTTAAGTACCAATTGATTGTTTAATCTAAAAAAAAGAAAAGAAAATTCTAAGAGTTTTCCATTTTTTCTAATTATCTCATATAAAAATTAAACTACTTAATACCAGCACTGTTATCACAATTTTGAAAAGGAGTTCTACTTACTTTACATTCTTCATTTTGGTAAAGACAGTTTCTTAGGAGCTGCATGGTAATGCTCAATTCTTTAATAAAAGCATCCTCCTGTTTAAACAAAAAGCAGTGAAAAATGTGAACACAGCCACACAGAGCAACTGTATCCCCCTGGTGGCATAGCACAATGCAGCCATGCTCTAAGATGCCTGACCACCGTAACTGAGGGGCTGACAAACTAACAGGCTCTGAGCGGTGACCATTTCTCAAGGAGACCATCCACCACGTAGAAGCTATTTCTGTTCTATCAAGCACAGAGGAACTCAAGCTATATAATAGCCTCCATGTTTCATCTCCATAAAGTGAAGCAGTACTGACTGGTCTTCAATCATATCAGGTGTTGACTGACTTTCCCAGTGAAAGTCAGGGCCTCTGGCTAAAGAGGAAAAAGGAAAAGAGGCAAGAAAAGAAACTGACAAACACAATCAATCCCCTGCATCAATTAAATTGTTAGATAAGGCTTTGTCTTAATATCTTATCAAATGCCATGGACATAGAGTGTTGCTATAATGAATGGTCTTCCTATACACATTTACTATGTGTATGAGAGTACTTCAAAATATGGAAGATAAATTAAAAACTAAGCTTATTTTGGTGTAAAAAATTAGAAATCTATGCTTAGGTTTTTCACAATATGCATTTTCCCTGAACATTTTGAAGAACCTTCCTATGTATATATTTATACATATACACAAATTTATTTTCTGAATAATACTGTGTGGCAGATCTTACTAACTACCGTTATTATTATTATTAACCACAGCTATGATATAACTATGTTATTACAAGTTCATCTGAATATAAGTTTAATCATGAGCCCAACAGAGTCAACACCAGAAAGATATTCAAAAGTCTCATGAAGAGATAAACAGAGACTTGAGTACCAGCTCTATAACCACTCAGATACAAAGGCAAATTCTGGCTTCATCGATCACCAGTTGTGTGACTATGCTGTCGTGAGTGTTTGTTCATGAGGTAATTAATATGAAATATTTGAACACTACCTGGCATATAGTAAACATTTAATAAACTGTAGTTTTTATAGCTCTCATTCTCTCATGAGCCCATGTTTGTACTAAGAAAAAGATCTTACTTTGGAGCATAAAAAATTCATGCCACAGTATTATCTGCCCATGTAGGTATTTCCAAATATTTATGACAAATATACATCAGGAAAAATATCATTTAAAGATCTTCAAGTGAGAATTTAGAAAAATAAAAGCCAACCACCTGCTACTGTAGAAATCTCTTTAATTTTTCTTACTGTATATATCAGACATTAATTTGAAGCCTGTACCCATTTGTAGGCACAAGGGCACTGGAGATAAGTTCTCTATATACAGCCATTCCTTTACCCAGAATTTCAGAATTCACAGTTACCTTTTTTTTCAGTGCTGCTTTTCCAGGCCTCAGAGAATCTAGGTTCAGTTGTGCATGAATGTGCTTCATCTGCTCCATGCAGTTCTCTATGAGATTAGCTAAAAGACAAAGTCTGCAATTGTCAAAAGGATACTCCCTTTCCAAATAAGTGAAAACCACATATAACAGATTCTCAACAACAATAACAAAAGAACTTTATACTCCTTTCTTTATAAAGATTATTTATTTGAAAGGCATTGTGATAGAGGGGACAGTGGGGAGGTAGGGAGGTAGGGAGGCAGAGAGAGAGAGAGAGAGAGAGAGAGAGAGAGAGAGAATGAATCTACCATCCACTGATTCAGTCCTCCAAATGGCTGCAATGGCTGGTCCAGGAAGAAAACAGGAGCCCAGAACTCCATCCAGGTCTCCTACATGGGTGGACCCAAATACTTGGACCATCCTTCACTGCCTTCCCAGGTACATTAGCAGAGAGCTAGACAGGAGGTGGGGCAGTTGAGACTTGAACCAGTGCTCCAGTATAGGATTCCAGCATTGCAGGCCACAGATTAGCTCACTGTACCACAACGTTGAATCCAACACTTTTTATTTCTGACTTGCTTCATTTTAACGTTTTCACAGTGAAAGATTACTGAGAGTAAACAAAAAAGTGAACTGAAATGATGTTTTCAGTTCCTGGTATGATACTCCCCAAATCCAATTGACGTTTTGAGGCATGTATAATTTGTTTTAGTAGCAAATCACAATTGAAGTTAATGAATTTGATGATGCTGTTATTCCATTTTAATTGTCAGACCTGTGTTTCCTGATGTCAAGATGGGAAATTACAACACTCTAGAAAGGAAATTTATATGAAAATATAGGATCATCTGATGCTGTCATTTTTAACATCAAAACTGAGTGTTTCTTTGTCCTCGGGTATGCAGTGTATGTTTGTGGGTATTAACACTAAATTATCACAAAACTAAGTAACGTGTCACTTTATTTTCGCTGTTGTAATACGCACATAGAGTAAGTATCATTACATATTAAATAAGTAACCTGATCATAATCTGTTTTATTTTGAAAGTACTGCTTGGGCATTGGCATAGCAGTTAAGATGCTGTGGGGGATGCCTGCATCCCACATCAGAATGCAGAGTTTGAATTCTGGCTCTGTTCCTGATTCTAGCCTCCTGCTAATGCAGATCCTGCAAAGCAATGTTTGATGGCTCAAATACTTGAGTTCCTGCTACTACATGGGAGACCTGATCTGGCTGTTGGCCATGGCCTGCTCCAGAACTGGCTTTTGTGGGCATTTGGGGAATGACCAAAGGAATGAGAAAGTGTTCATTCTCTCTCAAATAAATAAAATAAAATACATTTTAAAGAACTGATTAACACACTAGATTCTCAGAGTCACAGTAAATGCATGATAATTACTACAACACAATTCTCATGTTAATGTGATGTAAATACAAAGAGAATGGATTCAATGCTATTCACAGAAACAATTCTAGGAATATAATGATACTTCTCTTCCTTCCCTTGCTCCCCTCTCTGTTTTAGTTTTTGGGATAACATATTTTTAATTTACATTAAAATCAAAGGCTTGGGCCAGCGCCATGGCTCATTTGGTTAATCCTATGCCTGCGGCACTGGCATCCCATATGGGTGCTGGGTTCTAGTCCCGGTTGCTCCTCTTCCTGTCCAGCTCTCTGCTGTGGCCCAGGAGGGCAGTGGAGGATGGCCCAAGTGCTTGGGCCCCTGCACCCGCATGGGAGACCAGGAGGAAGCACCTGGCTCCTGGCTTTCGGATCAGCGTAGCTCCGGCCGCAGTGGCCATTTTGGGGATGAACCAATGGAAGGAAGACTTTTCTGTCTCTCTCTCTCACTAACTCTATTTAAAAAATCAAAGGCTTAATTCCCCACTAAACAAAGTTCAACAAGTAAAAAGACCCTAGTTCAGCAGGAATATAGTCAAGAGCTATAAATAATAATCACATCAAAAGATGACATTTCATTCACATACAGTACATTTTAAAATAATCACAAATCATTAAAACTATAGTAGTATATCATTCTTAACCATTGATTTGACAAAGATATAAAACAAAGTTTGATAAAACTATATTTGCAGTAATACTAACATATACAGGCATATCTTTTTTTGTTTTCTCTCTTTTTTTTTTTATTTTAGCTCCCACATATAAGAGAGAACATACACCTGTCTTTCTGTGTCTGGTTTAGTTCACTCAATATGAGGTCCTCTAGTTGCATCCATCTTGATGCAAATGGCAGGATTTCATTCTTCTTTATAGCTGAATAACATTCCATTATTACTCACACACACACATATTCTTTATCCATCCATTTAATGACAGACACCTTGGTCGAACAAATTTTAAGAAAATTTTCTATATAATGAATGTTTACTCTGTTTCCATATGGGTAAAAAAACTATTGTTCTAGTGACACTGATATTGTACCATACATTCTCTAAATTTGATTCCAAGGAAATTAAAATGAACTAAAAGCAAAACGTGAGTTGACAAAATGCCATAAAAAGTACCTGACACGCCTGTGACTCACCTTTCAAAGCATGTTCCTGTGCTCTTCTACTGACTGCCAGAAGTGACATCAGTGCATTTGCAGCAACTCTTTTTAGGACATCGTTGGAGGATTTTCCTTCATAGCACTGCAGAAATATACATCAAACTGCCTTGAAGACAAATCTAATCTGGAGCAAAACTATTGTGAACAAAAAAACTATTCTACCTAAAAGGTGTTTGCAGATTTCAACTGTCACGTGAAATGCATTAAAATTTGGTAAATCACTTGAGAATTTGATAAATCATCTAAGAATGCTCTTTCTGAAAAAACTACATAAAATAATATGAACAATATTAACAACCATTCTCAAATAGGTCTACAGAGGAAAAAGCTTTATTTCTTTATTTAGCATTAACAAATACAAGCTCATGCATTCAATCAAATTTGCCAGGCTATAAATGTAAATATGTGTAACTTATTAAAACACGTCCTTAGAAAACAGTTAGACTGGGGTCCAATTCCTACTTTCTCCTCCTGGGGATACATTCCCATCCCTCTATTCCCACTTAACATACTCCTGTATCTCAGGAGCTGTGGTTCTCTCCATCTCTCATTTCTATAGTAACATGTATCTGTCATATAACCTACTCTCCTCCACACCCCCACCCCCAACTCCCACAGCAAGATCTAGGTGTAAGCATTGGGGTGCAGCAGGTTTATGCTGCTGCCTGGATTGGCCATATCCAAGATCAGAGTGCCTAGTCCAAGAGCTGGCTGCTCTGTGCTTCTGATCTAGCACACAGCAGATGATGGCCCAGGTGCCTGGGCTCCCGCCACCCACGTGGAAAACCTGGATGGAGTTCCAGGTTCCTGGCTTTAGTATGGCATAGCCCCAGCTGTTGAGGGCATTTCAGGAGTGATCAGCAGATAGAAGAGTTATCTGTCTGTCTGTCTGTCTGTCTCTCTCTCTGTCACTCTCTCAAATAAATGAATGTCTCTCTTTTTTTTTTTTTTTGACTCTTACAGAAAGCAATTTTTAATTTTGAAAATACTAGTATTCATTTGTGGGCTGGCGCTATGGCATAGCAGGTAAAGCCGCACCTGCAGTGCCAGCATCCCACATGGGCTCTGGTTCAAGTCCCAGCTGCTCCACTTCTGATTCAGGTCTCTGCTACGACCTGGGAAAACAGTAGAAGATGGCCCAAGTCCTTGGGCCCCTGCACCCATGTGGGAGACCCCAAAAAAGCTCCTGGCTCCTGGTTTTGGATCAGCATAGCTCCAGCTGTTGTAGCCAATTGAGGAGTAAACCAGCGGATGGGAGATCTCTCTCTTTCTCTGCCTCTCCTCCTCTGTTTAACTCTGACTTTCAAATAAATAAATAAATCTTTTAAAGAAAGAAAATACTAACACTCAAATATATTTCTTTTACAATGAATTTATGAGTTAGAAAAAATTTTCATTATAAAGTTTCAAACATATACAATAAGTACAGAAACTGAGTAACAAATCCATTCTAAGATTTTAAAGAAAATACTAGATATCATAGAATGTTCTATCAATATATATAACCATAATGATCATCATTCCTAACATAATTAACAATAATTTTTTGGCATCAAGTAATACTGCTCCAAATTCACATTTTCTCTTTTGTGTCAAAAATGTCTTGCAGTTGGTCTACTGGAGTCAGGATAACAGGAATCCTCATGTGGCACCTGCAGCCACAGCTCCTCCGTCTAGAATGGCATCCTCTGCCCCATGGCTCCAGCAGCACTGTTTGGTTGCTGTTGTTCCTGTGTCCCTGGCTTGCTGACCAAGCCAGACCACTCCTCCTATAGAATGCCCCACATTCAACATCTGTCTGCTTGCTTCCTCAGGATGCTTCACTGTCTTCTCTCTTCTGCATTTCCACCTACTGCATCTTTTAGCTCTAAAGCCTTGACTACATTTATGTTCAATATTTGGCAGTAAGATTTCATTTAGCTATATGCACATCATTTTATAATTTCCAAGAACTCATGAATTACATAAGATTCTAGAAGCTTCTCATTTGTAATTATTAGATAAATTCAAATTCATAACTTTTTATTCTGTCAGTAATTTTCAAGATGATCTGACTTCACAATACCTTTATTGGCCAGCGCCGCAGCTCACTAGGCTAATCCTCCGCCTTGCGGCACAGGCACACCGGGTTCTAGTCCCGGTCGGGGCGCCGGATTCTGTCCCGGTTGCCCCTCTTCCAGGCCAGCTCTCTGCTGTGGCCAGGGAGTGCAGTGGAGGATGGCCCAAGTACTTGGGCCCTGCACCCCATGGGAGACCAGGATAAGTACCTGGCTCCTGCCATCGGATCAGCGCGGTGCGCCGGCTGCAGTGCGCCGGCTGTGGCGGCCATTGGAGGGTGAACCAACGGCAAAGGAAGACCTTTCTCTCTGTCTCTCTCTCACTGTCCACTCTGCCTGTCAAAAAAAAAATAATAAAAAAATAAATAAAAATACCATTATTAACATTAAACGTAAGGCTATATAGTGTTACATAAAATATATACAGCCTGTCTAAATGCAATTCCACTCAGAATTCCTGTGGGGCCTGTGCTTGAAAATATGACAGTACAGAGGCCTGCACGGAGGCCTTTCCCTGCCACGTGATCAGGACCAGGGGCATCTCGGACACCTCCAATCAGGCAGGATCCCATTAGTCAAGAAACTATATCGTAAACACCCAGATCCAGAGATGCTTGTCAAAGATCACACTGATTGCGACCACGAAGATGGAGGCAGAAAAGGGTAGGGGCTGTAAGGTGCTGAATACACGTGGAGTGTAGCACATCCACTGCAGTTACCCAGGAGACTCCTAGCTCATTTATAACTGTACTCTCCACCATTAAAACAAAAATCTTTTTAATATACTTATTAAATTTCCATGTATTAGTAATTTCAGAAAAATCAGAAAAATAAAACGTAGTAATACATATGCAGCAATTAGTGAGGAAAAGAGGTAAAACCTCTAAGGAAACAGCTGTATGCACAGATTCCCTCTTGAATTCCCATTAAAATTACAGAAATGGAATTACTTACACACACACACACACACACACACACACACACACACACAGGTCTGGAGACTAAAAGGCAGGCATACAGGTAGCCAAAGTGCTAGCCTGAGAATGCTGACTCGTTACAGGAGGAGTGGGGAAAGCTACACTGAACGGCTGAAAGCTGAGGAAGCTTAGCACCAGGGGCTCCTGGAAGCAAGGGAGTAGGATTGTCTGGGAAGGCCAGATTCTGTGTGCTACCCACCAATTCCTGTGCAGCCAAGCCACTGCTCTTCCCAGGCTCTTGCAAAAACCTGAAGGCCTATTTTCTGGAGAAGAGAAGTTAGAAGGATTCTGAACTGACAAAGACCAGGCACATTGTGGGTTAGGGTATTCAACTGAAAACAGGAAGGATTAAAACTACAAAACACGTTGTAGTTGGGTTTCCAGCTCCAGACAAGGGATCAGAAAACTCTTCTCTAGCGAATCTAAAAGCTCCAGAAGGCAGGCCCACAACAAAACCCTCACAAGTCCCCCTCGCACAGTCTAGCTTACAACTGCCAAGCTCAACTCACATGCTCAGAGCTGTCAACTGCTTTACGTCTCCCAGTCTTAAACTGAGCTGACAACCAAGACTTATCAAGCACCTAGTGAGAAAATACACTAAAGCAGACAAAAACAGAGAGAGAACAAAGATTATGTAGACAGAAGAAAACTTAATAGAAATTACAACTCACAGAGGACCCAAAGTGGAGAGAACGTCCACTAACTATTTAAAAATATGGATTTAGAGGTGAAAGAGCAAACAAGAGGGCCCAAAACAACTGATAAAATATACATCCTGGGCAGTACATAAGAAAAACTTAGAATAGTAGAGAAAAGGGAAACAGTTTAAAAACTTCCAGGGAGAAAAATAGCAGGAATTACAGTAGCTTCAGAATGTCTACATTAACACTGAGAGTTAAAGAAGGTGATGATTTCGAAATTATGAAGTAAATGATTTCCAAACCAGAATTCTCATTAGCCAAAATATTAGTAAGGTATAATGGCAAGTGGGATAAAGACATCTGGAGTTCAATAAAATCCCTCCTGTACACCTTTGTTGTTAAAGATATTGGACAACAGACTGCACAACAATAGGAGGGCATCAAACCAAAAAGGATGATATGAGGAAAGGCAACGGAACACAGGAAGCAGACTAAACATAGCAGAGATGTCAAAAACCCAAGACCAACGTGAATAGAGATCACAAAATGACACTGGGCACCAAACAAATTAGAAGGAATTTGGAGGGGCCGGCGCCGTGGCTCACTTGGTTATTCTTCCGCCCGTGGCGCTGGCATTCCACATGGGTGCCGGGTTCTGGGCCTGGTTGCTCTTCTTCCAGTCCAGCTCTCTGCTGTGGCCCGGGAAGGCAATGGAGGATGGCCCACGTGCTTGGACCCCTTCTCCCGCATGGGAGACCAGGAGGAAGAACCTGGCTCCTGGTTTCGGATCAGTGTAGTTCCAGCCATGTGGCCATTTGGGGTTGAACCAACAGAGGGAGGATCTTTCTCTCTGTCTGTCTCTCACTGTCTAACTCTGTCAAATAAATAAATAAATAAATAAATTTTAAAAAAAGAAGGAATTTGGAGAGATGTTTTTCCAGTAGATGAAACCATGTAAGTTCAGAATTTTGAACACACTGAGAGGGCACTGCTTACTGGCAAAGAAAATGGAGCTTACAACTGATAAGACAAAACTCAGCAAATTAAAAAGTAACAATGACTGCTAAGGAAAGCAAAAGCTGTGCAGGAAAAGAAAGTAAACATCATCTGCAACATGTGTTTTATAAATATATATACGAACAGTATTTACTTAACATATATTATTATATATAGAAAAATAAACATGTTATTTAGACACAAGGGAGAGAAACTATAAAATAATTAGCTAAATGAGGTATAAGTGGTCACTTCTGAGAGGAGGAAAAAGAGGAATATAGAAGTTCCCTACTTTGGGTAAAAGCTTCAGAATCGTTTGGTGCTCTAAAATGCATGCATGGTAAAACTGATATGAAAAGCCCCAAACCAACAACAACTAAGACTGATTAATAGGAAGTCCACATACTTCACACTAAGAAAGGCCAGGGTAAAGGATTTAACTCCTGTGTGTGTGTGTGTCCATCCGTGTGCACGTCTGACTTTCTGGAGACTGAAAAGTGGTCTGAATTTCCGAACACAGAGCACATAGATGTCATGGAACTGTGAAGAGCCTGGAGGGAGGAAGGCTAAGAATTGCAAGTGAAGAAAACTAGCTACCAGATGATGAGACAACCACCAATCAAGAGGACACAGGTAATATGTCTTCTTTCAACTGATTTAAAAAGAGAGAGGATTCAATGAAATGTTTTAAAGCTTATACTCTTTTTTTAGACCTTCCATACATATGTAATGTAAAGAACAGATTTTTTGGGGGGTAGCCAGCATTGTGGCACAGCAGGTTAAGACACTGCCTATGATTCCACCATCCCATATGATCCCGGGTTCAAGTCGGGACTGCTCTGCTTCCGACCTAGCTCCCTGCTAATGTACCTGGAGAAGCAGCGAAAGATAGTCCAAGTATCTGGGTCCCTGACCACTGACTAGGAGACCTAGGTAGAATTTCAGGCTCCTTGCTTTTGTCTGGCTCAGCCCCAGCTGTTCCCACTATTTGAGGAGTGAACCAGCAAATGGAAGATCTCTCTCTTCCTCTTCCTCTCTCTATAGTTCTCTCTCTTGAACATTCATCAACACATAGTATCTCAAATAAGTAAGCCTTTTCTTCAACAGTTACTCTTTAATTTTACCATTTGCTAAACTCAGGTACAAAACACTCACATATTTCCTAAAATATGACTTGAGAATTTGTTGTTTCTTTACATTTCTATCTTTATATTAGACTAAATATAAGGAATAAATTAATTCAATATATCAATTACACAGTCTATTACAGAGAGGTTTTCATTAGTTTCATTATCTACCTGTTTTTGAAATGAAACATACTGGGGCCGGCGCTATGGCACAGCAGGTTAAAGCCCTGGCCTAAAGCATGGGCATCCCGCCGGTTCTAGTTCCAGCTGCTCCTCTTCCGATCCAGCTCTCTCCTATGGCCTGGCAAAGCAGTAAAAGATGGCCCAGTACTTGGGCCCCTGCACCCATGTAGGAGAACTGGAAGAAGCTCCTGGCTCCTGGCTTCAGATCGGCACAGCTCTGGCCATTGTGGACATCTGGAGAGTGAACCAGTGGATGGAAGACCTCTCTCTCTGTCTCTACCTCTCTCTGTAACTCTTTCAAATAAATAAAATAAATCTTAAAAAAAAAAAAAAAAAGAAACATGCTGTGTATTTCTATAAACTAAGGAAGATAAAAATCCTTTAAGTAAAACAGGTTCAATATTTTATGGACAAAAGACAGATAATAATTTCTTATAAAATATTCAAACCCTAAAACCAGCTCAAAATGAATTTATAAAATAAACTTACACATATTTATGACTTAAGTATTTATAATTTCCAAATGTATCCCTTATAAAGTAGTGCTATGAATCAGTCATTGAAAAGATACTCTGCTAAGCCATTTAAATGGAAATTCTAATGTAATAAGTGATTAGTAGGATGGAAAATTTTAGAGGTCACTGAAATTTAGTAATAAAGTAACACAATCCTCTCATTTTGCATTTCAAGAACTAAATCTCAAAAGGTTAAATGATTTGCCTAAGGTCCAACATCTAATAATATTTTTTGATACAGTCTTACACAGAATTTAAATATACCTTTAAAGACATCAATTTTAGAATAATATTTCTTCTGATAATTTAAAGACTGTAGTTTATTTTTTAAGATACAACTCTTAGCACAACTCCTAGCCTACACAGACATCTGAGTACAATAAGACACATATACTATTTATGATAATGTGTGGCTATTTAATGTATTCTAATATTTTAATTCACGTATCATCTTCCTTTAGGGAAAGAAAATACACTGCTTGCAGCTTCATAGGCTGACTGATAACTGCCCCACTTCACACTGGTATATGTTCTCTTGCAAGTGTGCCATATGTGCCACTCCTCTCTTCACTTTTTGCACTTGGAGCTAACTAACCTGTATTCATTCTACTGTATATATAAGCAAGAAGAGTCTGGTCTATTAGGAAACACAACTTAAGTAACTGTTTAATGTACCACTAACCACGTGAAATATATCTTTCGTATTTTGGAAGAAATGGAAATGAAAATGAGCTAGTCATTAGGAAAATTATGGAGATATGCTGTGGCTACAGAATACCTTATTTTCTTTGGCCAAGAAAGTAATATAAAAATATCATAAACAGTAATTCTTATAATGAATAGGATTACAAAGTATTAGATAAAAGTAAGGGCAAGGTAAATTTCACAAACTGTTATAGCATAGAGTTTTCCCTATATACACTATTAAAAGCTAGCACATGGGGCCAGTGCTGTGGCATAGCAAGTAAGGCTGCCACCTGCAGTGCCAGCATCCTATATGGGCGCTGGTTTGAGTAGTCCTGGTTCCTCCACTTCCGGTCTGGCTTTCTACTATGGCCTGGGAGAGCAGTACAAAATGGCCCAAGTCTTTGGGCCCCTGCACCAATGTGGGAGGCCTGGAAGGAGCTCCTGGCTTTGGATCGGCGCAGCTCCAGCCATTGTGGTTATCTGGGGAGTGAACCAACAAATGGAAGACCCCTCTGTCTCTCTGCCTCTCCTTCTCTCTGTGTAACTCTTTCAAATAAATAAATAAATTAAAAAAAAATGCTAGCTCATGGGGGCCAGCATTGTGGCATTGTGGGTAAAGCTCACAGCTAATGGTCTGGGAAAAGCAATGGAAGATGGCCCAATTGTTTGGACCCTGGCCACCTATGTGAGAGACCCAGAGGAAACTCCTGGCTCTTGGCTTCAGCTGGCCCAGCATTAGCTGTTGCAGCCATCTGAGGAGTGAACCAGTGGTTGAAAGATCTCTGTCTCTCTCTGTACCTCTATCAAATAAATAAATAAATACTAAAAAAATAAATAAATAAATAAATAAATACTAAAAAAAAAAAAAAAGCTAGCATATCACCATCACCTCACATGGATATTTGGATCACAGCACCACTCACAAAGGGAAAATAGATGGGAAATGAAATAGCCCTAGGTTGGCCTGGCTGGCAGTCTTCAAATTTCATAGGTTCAGCAGGCTTGGCTGCGGGAGCCACAACACTCATGAAGAACCAGCCTCCCAGAGTTATTTTGCATTCTGGCCTTGGCAAGGGAGGAGAGAATGAAGAACCCTTCCTCACTGAGAATACCCCGTCCTGTCTTCTCTGAGGAAAGACATTTAAATTCCCTGAAGAAGAAATCATGTGGGCCGGTGCCACAGCTCACTTGGCTAATCCTCCGCCTGCAGCACCGGCACCCCGGGTTCTAGTCCCGGATGGAGCACTGAAATCTGTCCTGGTCGCTCCTCTTCCTGTCCAGCTCTCTACTGTGGCCCGGGAAGGCAATGGAGGATGGCCCAAGTGTTTGGGCCCTGCAACTGCATGGGAGACCAGGAGGAAGCACCTGGCTCCTGGCTTCGGATCGGCGCAGCACTGGCCACAGCGGCCATTTGGGGGGTGAACCAACGGAAGCAAGACCTTTCTCTCTGTCTCTCTGTCTCTCTCTCTCTCACGGTCTAACTCTATCTGTGTTTAAAAAAAAATGCTGGTTCAAGCCCCATCTGCTTCAGATCAGCTCCCTGCTAATGTGCCTGGGAAAGCAACAGATCACTCAAGTGCTTGGGTCCCTGCCACCCATGTGGGGAACTCAGTCGGAGTTCCTGGCTCCTGGTCTCAGTCTGGCCCTTCCCAGCTGTTGTGGTCCTTTGGGTTATAAACTGGTAGGTGAAAAATATTTCTCTGCCTCTTCCACTCTCTTTCTCTCTGTCACTCTACCTTTCAAATAAATACACATATAATATTGAAAAATATAGAAGTAATATTTATAAAAAAACAATGTTCAATACTAATGTAGGTAACATTTCTAGTTTTGTTTAAATTGTTAGTCAAGATAAAATATAGTTTAGTGATTTTACAAATTTCATGACTAAAATTCTTATTTCATTTTTTTGGATTGTAAAAATAAGTTTACAAGACAAAAATAGACAATGGGGTTTGGAAAGAAATTATTTGCTCACAGTGTACAAATCAAGTCCATCTTCTATATACTTCACTACTGACAAAATTATATGGCCACTCACACAAAAAAAATGTTGCTTAAGATGTATTTTCACAAAGAGATAATCTTTCAAATGTCAATTTGAATTATACCTTCATTCATAAAATATGCATATTTAGTCATGACTTGGAACACTTTTAATAAACTGCTGGATTTAGATTATTAAAATTTCAATTTTTACATCATCTTCATCAGGGAAACTGGTCAACACCAGGACATCAGACAGGAGAGGAGACAGTTCATTTATCTTTGTATATTTCTACATTTTTTTAAACAGTCATCACAAACATTAATTATTTTTTAATTCAAATGACTGAAAAAAATTTACAAGACTGAAAATCAATTCATTTAAATACTAAACAACAGTTACAGACAATTAAGAAACGACATACCTGAAGAATTACTTCATTAAATCGTTCTAGACGTTTCAGATTTTCCTGAGTTGTATCAAGAAGTGAGGTGATTGTTGGACTGGGGGATGAACTTCTTTTACCCTTATCCTGGAGATGTCGTTTTGCTTCTTCAGTTAAAAGAATAGAAAGGAACTGCAGGCCAGCAGTATATAGAGTAGGGCTTGTGAGAGACAAGTCCACACATTTGCAGAACATATCTAAATGAAAAAATAATTTCATTTTGTATGTTTGAATATTAATATTGGTTTTATGATTTTCTTATTTAAAATCAAGTAAAGCTATCAATAGGTTCAGTGTAAAAAGACTGACTCTAGTGTTTAAAAATATTAACTCATATTTAGAAAACATACTGAGCTAAGCAATCTATTTAATATTCAGTACATACTGTTTCTTTTTTATTTGAAAGACAGGATGTGTGTGTAGGGGAGGTCTATAGACACCTATATACACAATATCTACTAATACACAAAACAGGAGGATTGCTTACATGTAAATGGGTATTAATTTTTTGGTGTCTACTGGGATACATGAAGTCTCAGGAATTTTTTTTAAAGATTTATTTTATTTATTTGAAAGGCAGAGTTACAGAGAGAGAGAGACAGAGACAGAGACAGAGACAGAGTGAGAGAGATCCTCCATCTACTGGTTTACTACCCAAATGGCTGCAATGGCTGGGACCAGGCCAGGCTGAAGCTAGGAGCCTGAACTCCAGATAGTTCTCCTACATGGGTGCAGGGGACCAAGGACTTGGCCGATCCTCTGCTGCTTTCCCAGGTGCATTAGCAAGGAGCTGGATTGGAAGTGGAGCAGCCAGGAATACAACAGCTGCATATGGGATGCCAATTCCACAGGCAAAGGCTATACCCACTATGCTACAGAGTTGGCCTCAAGAATTTGTAACTTTAAAGTTTTGATTTTAATATTAACCTTAAAAAATCTACTATATTCTTGATCATCTAGAAAAAAATCTCATGAGTATGATTATGTCTCTGTTTTCAAACAAGTTAGTGTCAGGCTAATCCTCTGCCTTGCGGCGCCGGCATACCGGGTTCTAGTCCCGGTCGGGGCGCCGGATTCTGTCCCGGTTGCCCCTCCTCCAGGCCAGCTCTCTGCTGTGGCCTGGGAGTGCAGTGGAGGATGGCCCAAGTGCTTGGGCCCTGCACCCCATGGGAGACCAGGATAAGTACCTGGCTCCTGCCATCGGATCAGCGCGGTGCGCCGGCCGCAGTGGCCACTGGAAAGTGAACCAACGGCATAGGAAGACCTTTCTCTTAGTCTCTCTTTCTCTCACTGGCCACTCTGCCTGTCAAAACAAAACAAACAAACAAACAAACAAACAAACAAAAAAAACAAGTTAGTGTCAAACAGTATTTAAGACTGACTTAGGGGGCTGGCACTGTGGTGTAGTGGGTAAAGCTGCTGGCTGTTGTTCTGGCATTCTATATAGGCGCTGGTTTGAGTCCCAGCTGCTCCACTTCCGATCCAGCTCCCTGATATGTCATGGGAAAGAAGTGGAAGATGGCCCAAGTCCTTGGGCCCCTGCACCCATGTGGGAGACCGGGAGGATGCTCCTGGCTTCAGATAGGCAGGCACAGCGCCAGCTGTAGTAGTGGCCATCTGTGGAGTGAACCAGTGGATGGAAGATCTCGATCTCTTTCTCTTTCTCTCTCTCTCTCTCTGCCTCTGCCTCTCTCTAACTGCCTTTCAAATAAAATAAATAAATCTTAAAAAAAAAAAAAAAAAGACTGACTTAGATGCCATGCTGCCATACAAAGATTTCATGGTAGAACAAGAATGCATTTTTGGAAGCTCCTCAAAATTCCTCAAGAAAAGCACCCTGGTATCTCCTTGCAGTGGCACAATTACAGGATTTTGGAGAATTTCCATATTTAACTGGAGTAATGACTGTCAAATCAAATGCGACAGCATCTTCTTACCAAGCACGGCCGCCCAGTTCTTAGCCAAAGCCATGGTGACAGAAGGGAGACAGACAGCACCAGCTTTCCTCAGAAGTGTGGCCAGAAGGTTAAACAGCTGTGTCCACGTATAATGAAGAGTCGGTATAAGCTCTACATCTATAAAATTGATCAACACATTTCAAGTTATTAACACAAAGACAGATAATCCTTTAAAATACAAAACTCATCACATTTTATCACACCTAAGAGGGTCACATTCACCAAATGAATTTCAGCACTATACAAAATTTATTTCAATTAATCACTCTTTTCCCTTCCCTCTGAAAGATATCTCCCTTCCACCCTCCTACAAAGACACACTCACAAACACTCCCTTTACTAAAGCACACCAGACAACAAACACAAGTGTGGCAAACTGAGCTGTACTTGGTAACTTAAGAACTGCATACTGGGAACATTATAAACACATGTCACTGCACTATTCCATGAACATAAGGTTTCTCCTATTTGCTTTATCCACTCTAGCAGCTTTGTGCAGGACTGGAAAGGAAACATTAAGGGCCGAGGTTAAGAGAAAATAAATTATTTTTTGAAGAACCAAAAAGAGTATTACCCCACATAGAAAACTATGATACAAAATGTGATTCTGCAGTTTTGTCTATGACTAAGAACATATTTATTAACCTTTCAGATAAGGACACCCTGTGCTTCCTTTGTGTCTGGGTAAATGGCAGCTGGAGAGTGGGGCTATCTACTGTGAAACTCCCTGACTACGTCGCCAGCAGTCGTCACCTTTTGCACACAGGCATTCCAAGTGGCATCGTAACTGCCAGTCTGAAGAGCTACCCCGAATATTGTTTTTGTTTGTTTGTTTGTTTGTTTGTTTATAGGCAGAGTGGACAGTGAGAGAGAGTGACAGAGAGAAAGGTCTTCCTTTGCCGTTGGTTCACCCTCCAATGGCCGCCGCGGCCGGCTTGCGCTGCGGCCGGCGTACCGCACTGATCCAAAGGCAGGAGCCAGGTACTTATCCTGGTCTCCCATGGGGTGCAGGGCCCAAGCACTTGGGCCATCCTCCATTGCCTTCCGGGCCACAGCAGAGAGCTGGCCTGGAAGAGGGGCAACTGAGACAGAATCCGGCGCCCCGACTGGGACTAGAACCCGGTGTGCCGGCGCCACAAGGCAGAGGATTAGCCTATTGAGCTGCGGCGCCGGCCCGAATATTGTTTTAATGTATCAAAAGATAAGCTGATAGAATGAATTTTGTGTCATTCAAAATTATTTATTCAGAAAAGAATATTTTAAAAACTTAATCTCTTAAAAAATATTTTGTGAACTTTCACCTTATGCTACATATGAAAAAACAACTTTTAACTTAACCAGTTGCTAAATATACATCCAAAAATTGTTGGAATATTTTATTTCCAGCACTTAAAATACTTGATGGGTTAAATAACTTTCAGATAACTTAATAATAAAGTATATACAATTTTTTTGCTTAATTTTCAAAGCCCTATTCACACACAAGCAAGAGAATGGAAAACACCCAATGGAAAGCACCCAAGGCAACCAAAAGGAGCCCACACGTCTAGTACCCCTCTTGTCACATGACTTTGGGACCAAGCAAGTGATCAAGTCTTCAGTTGAAGTTATTTTTCATCACTGTTTTAGGCACTAACTTCGACAACTTGTGTATCTTCCATTAACTCAATGTCAATACTTCAGGGATGCCCAAGAAAATCCAACCAGAGAAATGAAATGCTAAGTGGTAAGATTTTATCAGGTATGGATGAGTTTTGGGGGCCCCAAACCACTGTAATATCTAAGAATTTTTCACCTCATCCGCTTCTCCCAATAAATAATTTTCACTTCTTGTTGACAGTACACAGTCTAACCTAACAAACTTGGGCTATTACTGACACAGATTTTCCAAGCGACAAGACTCTGCACCTCTAGAACTAGATAACTTCAACAATGCTGAGATGCTAAGTACTAATTTACTGGATATCAGAACACACTTAAAAAAATCAAGCTAACATTGTAATAGAAAGAACTAAAAAGAATGAATGGGAAAACAAGGAAAATTATCAAATGATCAATTGCTTCTTTATAAAATATTATTTAAACTTTCAATTATATTTGATTTTTTATTAATATCCTACATTGATTTTCCACTGGGATCTCGCAAAGATCTTCCATTTAGGTCTTCCTTTTTTTTTTTTTTTTCCCCCAGGGTGTCTTGGCTTTCCATGCCTAAAATACTCTCATGGGCTCTTCAGCCAGATCCCAATGCCTTAAGGGCTGATTCTGAGGCCAGAGTGCTATTTAGGACATTTGCCATTCTATGAGTCTACTGTGTATCCCGCTTCCCATGATGGATCGTTCTCTCCCTTTTTGATTCTATCAGCTAGTATTAGCAGACACTAGACTTGTTTGTGTGATCCCTTTGACTGTTAGACCTATCAGTGTGATCAATTGTGAACTGAAATTGATCACTGGGACTAGTGAGATGGCATTGGTACATGCCACCTTGATGGGATTGTATTGGGATCCCCTGGCATGATTCTAACTCCACCATTTGGGGCAAGTCCAATTGAGCATGTCCCAAATTGTACATCTCTTCCCTCTCTTATTCCTACTCTTATATTTAACAGGGATCACTTTTCAGTTAAAATTTAAACACCTAAGAATAATTGTGTGTTAATCACAGAGTTCAACCAACAGTACTAGAACAAAACAAATATTTAATTTTATCTGTTACTAAGAATTATACTCAACTTTTTATCATAGAATATCTTCCAATAATTTAGGACCTGAGGAAATTTTGGCATTATATGCTAGGTTGAATTATACATGTCACTGCAAATGATTTATTAGGGTGTCATTTGACCTTAGCCACAGTTTATAAGTTTAATTAATTCCCAAAACTCACTGTGCTTTCCAACATGACAGAGAGCTTTGCCCTCACTTAACCTGGAAGCACAGGGATGGCCCTTTATCATATGACACACTTGCCTCAAGTGATCTCCTGGAACAACTTAAAAGCATCCAAACCACAAAACACATCACCAAATGCTTCCAGAATACTGGCAAAACAAACAGAAAACAAATAAGTAACTTTGAACTGAATGTCTGGAAAAGAGTAAAACTTTCTTCCCTCAACATTATTCAATCCCTCCTTAATCTAAAAGAATTAAGGTTGCCTAACATACCTTTGGTGCATATGGTAAGAACGCCAACAGCATTAGTGATGAGAGGTTTCAGAATCTTGTCCTGAATCACAAGGTTGGGATCTACCAACAAACATGACTGCAGAAGTCTGGACAAAGAGGACAGATATTCCAGGAGAAAGAAAACCTATTTGAAAAAGGAATAAAGTACAAAGAACATACCATATGAAAAGCCTGTTTCAGTGATACAATATTTAATTTTTCTATGCATTATTATAAATCACTTCTTTGTAAGGTAGTAAAATTATCAAAAATAATTGTGCAGACATGAAACTAATACATGGCAGGCAAAGCACTAATTTTTCTTTCATTTTACAAGCACATAATGGTCACATTAATACTTTCAACTATAACAACATGAAACAAAGCAAGATTTTTTCAACACCAAATAATATGGTCCATAGAGATAAGCGAGCCGTAGAGCAATCCTGCAGTCAGTCTCTTTCTCTCTCTGCATACACACACATTTTTCCCTCTTTCTAATGTGTACAAGAGAGTCAGAGACACTTCTACATACAGGCTGTATCTCTAATGTTAATACTCTCAGACTGGGGCCGGCACTGTGGCACAGCGGGTAAACGCCCTGGCCTGAAATGGTGGCATCCCATATGGGCGCCGGTTCTAGTCCCAGCTGCTCCTCTTCCAGTCCAGCTCTCTGCTGTGGCGTGGGATAGCAGTGGAGGATGGCCCAAGTCCATGGGCCCCTGCACTCATGTGGGAGACCCAAAAGAAGCTCCTGGCTGCCGGCTTCAGATAGGCGCAGCTCCAGCCGTTGCGGCCATCTGGGGAGTGAACCAGCGGATGGAAGACCTCTCTCTCTCTGTCTCTACCTCTCTAACTCTGTCTTTCAAATAAATAAAATAAATCTTAAAAAAAAATACTCTCAGACTATTTCAAAAATAGTTCTTCTGTCCTATCTCTCTTAATGAAAATATACTTCCTTTATTTAACCCGCTAAAAGCACAGGTGGCTATACTATACATTTCTTATACTCCTCAGTTTGTCAAACTTATATTGCTTATTACCGTGAAGTCTTTTCAGTCCCTTCAAATTGTTCATTTAAAGTAAATTTTGTTTATTTGAATGCTAGAGAGACAGAGACACACAGAGAAATATGTTCTTTTGTCCACTAGTTCCCTCCCCAAATGTCCACAACATACAGGGCAAGGCCAGGCCAAAGACAGGTGCCTAGAACTCAGCCAAGGTTTCCCACATGAATGGCAGGGACCCAAGTACTTTGGGCTATCCCTGCTGCCTCTACAGGTGCACATTAGTAGCAATCTGGAATCTGAATCAGAGCCAGGGCTTGAACACAGACACTCTCATACAAGAAAAGCCGAATTGTTCGACTGGTTTATAAATTATTATATTTAAGACTGAATATAAAGTATCAATCTAGTAGTTCATAAAGTAAATCTTCTTCAACGAATGGCTCATCAAAAATTATACAACCAGAGGGCCAGTGCTGTGATGTAATAGGTTAAACTTCCATGTGTGATGCTGACATTTCATATAGGCACCAGTTTGTATCCTGCTGCTCCACTTCAGATCCAGTTCCCTGTTAATGTGCCTGAGAAAGCAGCAGAGGATGGCCCAAGTGCTTGGGTCCCTGCACCCACGTGGGAGACCTGGAAGAAGCTCCTGCCTCCTGGCTTCAGATCAGCCCAGCTCCAGGCATTGCACCTATTTGGGGAGTGAACCAGTGGATGGAAGATTCTCCCTCTCTTCTTCCTCCCTCCCTGTGTCTGTAGCTCTGCCTCTCAAATAAATAAAATCTTAAAAAAAAAAAAAAAAAAAAAAAAAAAAAAAAAACAGGGGCTGGTGCTGTGGCACAGCAGGTTAATGCCCTGGCCTGAAACGCTGGCATCCCATATGGGTGCCAGTTCGAGTCCGGCTGCTTCACTTCCAATCCAGCTCGATGATATGACCTGGGAAAGCAGTAGAAGATGGCCCAAGTCCTTGGGCCCCTGAAGCCACGTGGGAGACCTGAAAGAAGTTCTTGCCTCCTGGCTTTGGATCGGCGCAGCTCTGGCTGTTGCGGCCAATTGGGCAGTGAACCATCGGATGGAAGACCTCTCTCTCTCTCTCTCTCTCTGCCTCTTTCTGTGTAACTCTGACTTTTAAATAAATAAATAAATCTTAAAAAAAAAAAAAAAACCCTTCCACCCTATTACAACCAACACAAACTTCAACAACCTTTTGCCTTTATCAGACTGCAACCCAACCACTCAAAGTTCTACTGACAGGCTCTTGCCTAGCCACCCATAGCCTGTTTCCTAACTCCCCTAAGGTCTCTGCTCAAAGGCCAACTCCATGAGGTATTTCCTGAACACCTTACATGACCCTACATAAAAGTGTAATGTCTCCCCCTGCTGACACCCACATTTGCCCATTTTCATTTAGTTTTTTTCATCCAATAAAGCACTAGACAGTTTATTTACTTGTTTGCCACAGGCACTGTCTCCCACAGGCACTGCACTAAACATTCAGGACACACACAATACATAACAGAAGCCATGGAACTGCCTTCATAGAGCTGACTGCGCCCATCTGCCCTTGACACTCTCTCATAGGTTCTGCTCCAGCCTCTCTGGCCTCCTTGCTGTTTCTGGTATAGGCCAAGCAAACGCTGTTCTCAGGAGCCTTGCTACTTCCTTGGGACTAGCTTTCTCACTTACTTATGTCATAGCTCATAGAACGGCCCTCTCTGACCACACCAAATTGAACAACCCCACTATTCCAATGCTGACATCACTTCCTGTAACCCATTTTGTTTTTCTTCTGAGATATCTATTATCATCAGGCATATATGGATTTGCTTAGTATCCATTCTCTTAGAGGGAAAGGGTCATTGTCTTTTTATTTCCTTAGGGAGGAGTCTGGTGCATTATAGGCAATAAATAAAGATTTTCTGTATAGACAGAAGACAGAGGAGACAATCATTATGAAAATAAGTATGCTCAAATGAAAATACTGCACTGGGACAAGTGTTTTGAAGACAATGTTCACAGTGTCCCCAAACCTTGTAACAGACGTCTACCCTTTTAACACAGCTCAACAAACACATCTCAAAGCAAGGGCTACTCCTCTACTTCACATTACTTCTTCACCCCTTTACCCCCAAAAAATCTTGAAGCCAATATTAAAAATTTAATTTTGAGATAAAATTTCTATCAGCAACAACGGCACAAGGAATCATTAAGTATACTTTACATACAGACTTTATCAACAGCAAGAACTTAAAATATTTTGTGCTTTGAAGGAACAAAAACAAAATTATTTATATCAGATTGGGCTTTGAAATGTTTAGCCACCATGTATCAGCTTCAATTTAGGTGAAAACAAAGGATATGACAGAGAGACTAAAATCACAGGAGAGAAAAGTGGGCCATGCTCCCTATGCACCCCCCCCCCCACTTTCTAAAACAGACTTATTTATTTCAAAGGCAGAGTGACAGAGAAAGGGAGAGACAGAGACAGATATTCCATTTATTGGTTTACTCCTCAAATGCCCACAATAGCCAGGAATGGGCCAGCCAAAACCAGGAGCCAGGAACTCCATCTGGGTCTCCCATTTGGGTGGCAGGGACCCAAGTATTCAGGCCACCATCAGTCACCTTCCCAGACATATTAGCAGTAAGCTGGACTGGAAATGGAGAAGCTGAGACTGGAACCAGCACTCTGATATGGGACTTGAGTGTCCCAAGCTATGGCTTAACCCACTGTGAGACAATGTGCACCCCCCAAATTTCCTTTCTGAAAGTGTTACAGAAATATGGATCCAGATACTTGGGTACACATTGGTAGCTGATTAATGAAGGAGTCAGGAATATATTCTAGGACTTCAAAGCCATTGCTCTTTTCTATCATCCACACATATTTTTTATTTTTATTTATTTTTTTATTTGACAGATAGAGTTAGACAGTGAGAGAGAGAGACAAAGAGAAAGGTCTTCCTTCCATTGGTTCACTCCCCAAATAGCCGCTAGGGCCGGAGCTATGCCAATCCAAAGCCAGGAGCCAGGTGCTTCCTCCTGGTCTCCCATCCGGGTGCAGGAGCCCAAGCACTTGGGCCATCCTCCACTGCCTTCCTGGGCCACAGCAGAGAGCAGAGAGCTGGACTGGAAGAGGAGCAATCGGGACTAGAAGTCGATGCCCATATGGGATGCCAGGGCCGCAGGAGGAGGATTAACCAAGTGAGCCACGGTACCGGCCCCTGTCATCCACATATTAAAGTGCAAAGTAACCTAATTCAAACAACCTCACATAATGTATTTTCTGAAGCATTTCCATCTTTCTCCTATGGTTTGTATCTCCTCAGCAGAATGTACATTTTGGAAAGTAAAGCAAACAAACACCAACGGATAGACATGAGGCAAGGGATAGACCTGAGACACCTACCTGAGCTTGAGTGTGCTCAACTGGAGGAGACGAAGGCAATGGGGTCTTGAGGTCCTGAACACACGTCTCAATGAGGGTAGCATCAGCAATGCTGTGAAGGACAAGCAAAGAAAACCCTTTCGATGGTTAGAATGCTTCACATGGATAAGACTGATAAATCAGAACTTGAAGTTTGAAGGTATCCCTGAATATAAATGAAGAGAAAGAAGTTTTATAAGAAAATGTTTGTGAAAAAGTATTCTACTCTATTTCAGAAAAACGGGAAAATATCCTGTCAGTTAATGTGAGAGTAAAGAATTCTGAAGAAAACAGTATCTAAGGAAGCCTTATTAAAAGCTAAATAAAATATAATGCAGCCCATCCAGGAAAAAAAAAAAAAGCAAACAAAAATAAAACTTTGGGGCCAGCATTGTGGCATAGCAGGTAAAGCCACAGCCTGCAAAGACGTCATCCCATATGGGTGCTGGTTCATGTTCAAGCTGTTCCACTTCCAATTCAGCCACTTACTAACACTCCTGGGAAAGCAGCAGAAAATGGCCCAAATCCTTCAGCCCCTGCACTGACGTGGGAGTCCCAAAAGTTGTTCCTGACTTGAGCCTGACCCAGCCCTGGCTATTATGGCCATTTGGGGAGTGAACCAGAATATGGAAGATATCTCTCTCTCTCTCTGTATGTCTCCCTCTCTAACTATGCCTTTCAAATAAATGAAAAAAATCTTGAACCCAGGCTTTCCTAAGGGCAAGTCTAATGGGATGAGAGATGGGTTTTTTCCCTATGTTGTCCAAGGAAAGGAGAATCCCAGGGGGCATTGGTGATTAAGAATGTGTTTGGTGCTTTTTCAGCACGTACCTACCTGGCAGACCCAGTACAACCCAGCAGTTTGGGAATGGCCCTGAAACGGGTTCTTCTAAAAGAGCATCTAAACCAGGGAGGGTAAGGGGCTGAGGAAATTAACAAGGACAACGCCAGGGACACTGCAGGCTTTGGAACAGAATAGTCTCCACCATTGCCATCACATCACCTACATCTTCCATATCTTTTGTAAGATTTATCCCTAAGTTTTCCCTATCATTCACATTTTTGTAAGTGGTATTGCTTTGTAATTTCAATTCCTGGATATTCGTTGCTAGTATATAGTATACATCTGGTTTTTATGTATGCATTATGTAAGCTACAAAACTCACATATTGGTTCTGGTATTCTTTTTATTGATTCCATAAGACTTTTAATAGAGAACAGCTTGTTGCCAGCAAATTCAATTTCCTTTGCAACATGGATGCTTTTTACTTCCTTTTTTGATGTTTTTTACCAAGCTAGAGCCTTTAGTACAATGCAAGGGTTGAATAGAAGCGGAGATCCCATCACCAGGGTACTTCGTTATGTACATGCAGGTATTCCAAGTCTGAAACGGGTCCAAGCATTTCGGATAATGGAGTCAGCTGGCAGCTGTCAGTGGCAATGGCCTGAAGTCTTCTGGCTTGCTTTTTTTCCATGAGAAATCTGTTGTCATTCTTCTACCTCTGCAAGTACATTTTCACTCTATTTTGAAGATTTTTCTTTATCACTGGTTTTAAGTAATTTATGATGAAACTTGATACATTTTGTTCATATTTCTTGGGGTTCATTGAACTTCTTGGATTTATGGGTTTACTGCTTTCATTCATTTTGGAAATGTTCTACCTGTTATTGCTTCAAATTTTCTGTAACCCTTCCTTCATTTCAGGGACTTCAATTACTTGTGTATTTTGAAACTGCTACATTTTTCAGTGATGCCCTGTTATATGTTTCTCTCCCTCCTTCTTAAATAAAGAAAAATTGTAAAACTCAAAATAAAAAAAAAAAGCTTTGGTAGTTACTTTCCTATTCAAATAGTAAAAACACTGTCTAGGAAATATACTCATATGTAAGAAGTAAAAAAAATACATCAAGTAGGAAATTATTTTTCAAAGCTTGAAATAAAAACCAGGTACAGAAATATAACAAGCCTATGCTACAAAAGATCTTGTATCATCTCTGTGGTCTCAGCTCCACATCAGGCGCTTGGCTGACCCTAGGAAGAAGACTATTACTAGAGTTCCATTCCAGTCACTCTTAAGGCAGCAGCATACAGAAATGATAGTCAACTGACTGACTGCCAGTTACTTTCCCAACCCTCACAGGCACTACAGTAGAGAAAATGACAAACAAACTCATACTTTTTGCATATTATAAATGCTTAAGGAGTAATTACAATTGAGTGAAGTCAAACAAGAAATAGTTCAATAGCTCATTCTTTTTAGAATTTTAATATATCTATAACAAAGAAGACATGATTCAGCAAAGAGAAGGAAGACATTTCAGACAGCAGTGTTCAAAGGTAGAGACAAGACAGGCAATGAATATGGAGCTAAAAGACAGTACATAGACTTGGTAAGAATAAACTAGATGTCAAGAAAAGAAGAAAAATAACACTTCTAAATATAAGAAACTATCACAGACATCATCACTTTTAATCCATGTGCTAATCCCCTGAAACAGGTATTATTAATGACACTCCAGAGACTGAAGTAATTTTCACAAGGCTGCCTTGCTACAGGGCAAATGAACTATAATTAGACCTCAGATCAGCCTGAACTCAACATGTAGGCCTTTTTTACTATACTTTGTAATAAGACTTTTAAAAAAATGGAGAGACTCAATAATGCTAGGTTGAGTAAGTAATAAAAATTCAAAGAATCAAATTATGATTTCTCTAAATTTTATCAGAATACTTTTTTTTTTTTTTTGACAGAGTGGACAGTGAGAGAGAGAGACAGAGAGAAAGGTCTTCCTTTGCCATTGGTTCACCCTCCAATGGCCACCGCGGCCGGCGTGCTGCAGCCGGCGCACGGCACTGATCCGAAGCCAGTAGCCAGGTGCTTCTCCTGGTCTCCCATGGGGTGCAGGGCCCAACCACTTGGGCCATCCTCCACTGCACTCCCTGGCCACAGCAGAGAGCTGGCCTGGAAGAGGGGCAACCGGGACAGAATCCGGCGCCCCGACCGGGACTAGAACCCGGTGTGCTGGCGCCGCAAGGAGGAGGATTAGCCTAGTGAGCCGTGACGCCGGCCCAGAATACTTTTCAAAGAAAAGTCTATATTCCAAATCACTCCAGTTGAATTTCAATTGTGACTTTTCAACTCAAGGACACTTTTCTGCTATGACCACTAATACCCAAATCCTTGTACATCCATTAAAAATAAGAGGATTGTACCATATTCCTTGAGTGTGCTGGAAGATAAAGTTTAAAATTCCTGAATTTAAAAACTTGGAACTTTTTTCTATTGGTCTTTAGGGTCAACATAACAAACTAGTACAAGTGCTATGATAGACCTCAAAAAAAAAAAAAACTGTCAAGAAAATTCTGGAAAAAGCAAAAAAAATAAAGCCTAATGAGCCTAAAATGCTAAGAATCTATTTCCAGCACACACAAGTCTCATTTCCTGTCATGCATAGTGTGCAAATCCATCTCTGCTATCACACCTGCAAGGGGGTACTTATCTCTTACCTACAGAGCAGCTCTATGAGGTGGGCCTGTCGAAAGGCATTTGCAGTGTCTCCTGGGGCAATCGCCAAGAGGTTGTCTAAGAGGCTGCACATGGCAGACAGAAGAGATGGAGTAACAAAAACACACTGTTTGGGGAGGGGAGCAGAAAAGGAGGAATCACGAGGAGGTCGTGGTGATGCAGTCTCATGCTGACCTATTATTGAAAATAAGCAAAAAAATTATTTTTTACCTTGTGGTTAAGCACAATATTCACAATATATTCTTTTTGAAGTACTTTTATATATATTGATGCATATTCTAAATTAGCCTTCCTTATAGGAAAACTACATATCTTCAAGAAAGTTTTGATCAACTATTTCAGGGAAATTTTTCAATATTCATAAGATATGTATTGTGTGTCTTTAGCATAGGGCAAGCAAGAAAAAAATATCCAAAAAAGGGAAGGAGGGAATTCAGCATTTAAGAATTTTCAAACTCCTTGAATACACTCAATAAAATTTTATATGTTTTATTTGTACATAATTCATATTAAAATATATGTTACTTAGGAAGGTAGAAATTAGCCTATGTGTGTGAGAGAGGCATAAGGAAAACAAAGCATCTGCCGGTCATCTGGGGAGCAGCCCCACACTTTATCCTACGAAGTCCTGCCCTTGCTCTGATAACAGGTGGTCTCAGCCTTCCTCCTGCAAGGAAAGCTCCCAGGAGAATCCTTTCTCCACAGCACAAACGAGGTACCTGGCCTGGAAACACTGAGCAATAAAACCTTTACATCCTTCCTCCAAAGCAGACTCCCTAAAAGAAGATCCTCTGCCCAGCAGAGAGGGCTCCACAGTCTGATAGCACTGCATAGTGAAACCTTGGGAGGACTTCTACCTAACTCACACTCAGCAGAAGGGTTGCAGAAGGAGGAAGAGGGAAGGAGAAACAGTGGAAAGAACTGGACTCCTTTCCCTTATAAGCCCCAGTCTGAATACAGACTGCATGCTCAGCTCTCAGCTCTTCCCTGAGCCACCAGCCTGGTCTGTCATGTGTATTCTCTCCCTTAAGCCACATAACCTTGCTTTCCCCAATCTGAACGATTAGGTACTCTTGAGGATTCTATTCCATCTGTTAAAAAGGATTCCCTACCCCATTAAACCTTGCTACCTTGCTTACCACTGTTCTGTCTTACGTCTGAATTCTTTCTTTGTGCGAAGACAAGAACCTATCCTACCCATCGCTGCTAACATGCATAGTACTCAAATGTACAATACTAATTAATTTTTTTTGAGAAGAGAAATGAAGATAGAGAAAGTCAGACAGAGAAGCATAGCCCCCACTCTTTGGTTCACTCCCCCAAATGCCCACAATGCCCAGGGCTGAGCTGAGCCAAAGTCAGGAGCCAGGAATTCAATCCAGGCCTCCCACTTGAGTGGCAGGGACCAACTACTTGAGTCATCCCTTGCTACTACCCAGGATACACATTAACAGGAAGCTGGGCTGGCGCCGCGGCTCACTAGGCTAATCCTCCACCTTGCAGCGCCGGCACACCGGGTTCTAATCCCGGTGGGGGCACCGGATTCTGTCCCGGTTGCCCCTCTTCCAGGCCAGCTCTCTGCTGTGACCAGGGAGTGCAGTGGAGGATGGCCCAAGTGGTTGGGCCCTGCACCCCATGGGAGACCAGGAGAAGCACCTGGCTCCTGCCATCGGATCAGCGCGGTGCACTGGCCGCGGTGGCCATTGGAGGGTGAACCAACGGCAAAGGAAGACCTTTCTCTCTGTCTCTCTCTCTCACTGTCCACTCTGCCTGCCAAAAAAAAAAAAAAACAAAAAACAAACAAACAAAAAAAAAAAAAACAAGAAAAACAGGAAGCTGGAATTTGAGAGCTGATCTGAGATTTGAATCAAGGCAATATAGAATGTGTTTTAACCACTACATCAAACACCAGTCCCTAAAAATTTCATTTTTTAATAATGACTTTTAATTTTGTATATCACATATAGACTTACAGATATTAAGAGATCCGTTTAACGTTTTATTTCTTATAACAAAAAAGGTTATATTTCTGGAGTAGTGATCAATGGGCAATACTTGAAAATAAATTTAAATTGAGAGTAATAAAACAAAACTGTATATCCTCACAAAACTTTACACTGACAGTGACAGCAGTGTTATTTTTAATGGAAACATGGAAAAAATCCAAATGACTATCAAACAATGAATGGGTATATGCGATATACATGTACAATGTATATCAATGTACAATGGAATATTATTTAATAATATTAAAAATGAAGTTTTAAATTTATTTGACAGGTAGAGTTATAGACAAGTGAGAGAGAGAGAAAAAAAGGTCTTCCTTCTGTTGGTTCATTCCCCAAATGGCTGCTACGGCTGGCACTGCACAGATCCAAAGCTTGGAGCCAGGTGCTTCCTCCTGGTCTCCCATACAGGTGCAGGTGCCCAAGCACTTAGGCCATTCTCCACCACCCTCCTGGGCCACAGCAGAGAGCTGGACTGGAAGAGGAGCAACAGGGACTAGAATCCAGTGCCCATATGGGATGCCAGCACCGCAGGCAGAGGATTAACCCAGTGAGCCACAGCGTCGGCTCCAAAAATGAAGTTTTGATACATGCTGTAACACGGAAGAATCTTGAAAATGATATACTAAGTAAAAGAAGAAAGTCACAAAAGACCACATATTATAAGAGTCTATTTCTAAGAAATGTCCAGAATAGGCAAACCTATAGAGAAGGCTATGGAGACTGGGGGCGGACATCATTTCTTTTTGAGATTCTGTAAATGTTCTAGGACTGATTGTGGTAATGGTTGTACATTCCTAAATATATGAAAAAAAAAATCAATGAATTATGTACTTAATATGGATGAATAGTATGGTATATGAATTATATCTCAATAAATCCATTTTTAAAAAGAGCAAAGAAGTATGCTTTTATAGGTAAATATTCATGAAATTCATGATCAAGTTTTATTTCATGCTGGGTTCTTGGTCATAAAAACAGTGTGAATTTGTTCCTTTTCTTCTTGGGAGGATGAAGTGAATATTTTCTAAAATGAAAAACTTTTCTGCATTGTTAACATGAATTACAAAAATAAAAAAGGGGCATCATTTAGTAAATTATTGGAACAGAAATTAAAATGAATATTCCATTTTTAATCAAGTATTGCTAAAAGCTTTAAAAAGCATTTCTTCTGCCCATGCTTATTGTGTCTGTGTTTAAATTACTTTATTTTGGTGCTAGTATATTCATTCCATGTTATGTACGTAAAGCTACTGCATAAGGTCTACATACTCTCTAGAATTAACCAAAGCTAAGTTGTAATCTTTGGAATATATAAATATATTGATCCTAAACTTATAATTTTAGCATGTTCCATGAGTCATTTCATGAACATTTTTGTTCTCAGACATTTAATTTCAAAGTAAATGTCTGGATCAAGCTATCATTTTCATCACGGAAGTAGAAAGCCTACTGGAAAGGATACCTTGAGCCACAAACTGGTCATGGGAAGGTTCAGGCAGAAGCGCTGTTGATGGCGAAAGTGGTTGAAATTCAGCACTCCCCAATGAGGGTGCCACCTATGAATCAGTAAATAAAACTACTTTACTTATTATGTTACAAATGGGAAATGAAACATAAGCAACAAACATATAACATATCCTTAAATAAGAAAAATTATAAAAACATATAGTAGGTAGTATAACATATGGTAGGTAGTATAACTAAAAATATCTCCATATCTGGAGGGTTAACAGGATTTTTTTGAATGGCATTTTCTACTTCATATAGAAATTGTTATTATTTAAATATATTGGTAATTTGAAAGAGCATTTTTTAATTTGAGGTCCACTGAGGATTTTAAGGCTTATTTCCTCATGGTATGGCCAAAATGGTGAAAGAATAAGATTACTTAAAATAAAATGCATCGTGTTCCTGAGATATTTTGCATTTTTTGATTCATACCTTCTAAAATATTTCAAATGGCATAGTTTTAATAGTACTTATAAAAAAAGTTACAGATTTATTATTTTTCTCTATCTTACTTTATGTCAAAAAATTGATAATATACTATTTTGCAGTATTTTAAAAAAATAACAAATTCTGTAAAAAAGCAAACACAGTTTCACCCATAAGTTGATAAAACAGCAAATTGTGTTGTCTCCTAAAATTGAAAAACTGAAAGCTGGTCTGTCTGCCACCTCTGTGTGAAAAACACCTTAGGTAGGGAGGTCAGGTAACTTTTTGTATGAGAGCTCTGAAATGCCCCCATATGGACAGCCTCCAGGTCAGTGCACACAAATAGTAAAGCTATTAACAGAACTAATAAATCAATACTACTTCAGGAACAAATACTCCACAGCTCACAATGTTTGCACACTGATGGTGTATATTTTATCCTAATACTTAAAGTAGAATACTTTAGAATTAATAGGATAAAATGAAAGCAAATAAGGCTATTTTCATTATTATCATTCTGGCTCTAGGTCAGCTCAGCTACGGCTATTGCAGCCACCTGAGGAGTGAACCAGCTGATAGAAGACCTCTCTCTCTCTCTCTCTCTCTCTCTCTCTCTCTGTGTGTGTGTGTGTGTGTGTTTGCATGTGTGTCTGTCACTCTACTTCTCAAATAAATAAAAATCTTTAAAAACAAAAAAATAGAAAAGGAAATCTCCCTATCAAATTAAGACTTTGATCATCTTAAATATGATAGTTACAAAAACAAGAAATAAGTACAAAGCACTTATTTTATAGTTGGTTATCAGAGGTGTTTAAAAATATGTTCCTCTCAGCATATATCAAGAAAAATGTTAACAGCTCTACAAAAAAAGGAATCAAATACTCCACCTGATTATCACAAACTATGCAGCCAAATTCCTTTGGTTGCACAAGTTAGGTGGCCAATGACACTGACTCCTTTATCACTTCACTTAATATTCTCTGAATTAACAGAGGCTCAAGAAGTGCTATCTGTTCTACCTTTTAGCATTCAGTGCAGGACCAGAAAATGCATACGGACCCACTAAGCACCTGGCTCATAAGAAGAAAGCAAAGCTGTGATGAAAGGTCAGGCATTAAGAAAACCCACGATTTTTCTGAGTACAGTTGAGGGAAAGGTCACAGAAATTTAGAAAAGATGCTAAAAGCATCTGAGGAGATTCTGTCTGCAGGAGAAATCCGCGGTCCCCGCTGACTTGGAGTATGATTTGGAGAGTGCATGGAGGGCAGGAGGCCCACTAAGCACCATGACAGAGGGGCATGCTGCTCCCTGACTGCCCCTCACCCTCCCTTCAAAGCACCAGATTCCGCTTGCCAAGGCAGAGCACCTACTATTGAGCAGGTGGGTGGCTCTGGGGACAGGGAGGCCATCTCTGTGGACTGCGAGGCTCACTGGGCAGACAGTAGATCCCCTATACCCTGCGAATGTGGGGTAGGCAAAAAACTGTGAAGGGCATGGGGTGTCGCTAGGTCTTGGGAAATCACTGGGTCTGACTCCAGAAGCTGAGAACTCTGAGTGCTGGGAAGGGTCATCAGGGAGTGCTCCACACACACATTCCAGAGCACATAGGTTTTATTTGATTTGTGTGCCTGAGTGGGCTGGGTATACAGGCATGGGGAGCTCACACTAGGGAGCTGGTTCACCTCAGCTCAGAGAAAGATTAAGACTGTGAACATAGAAGCCAGGACAATCATCCCCTGCTACCAACTGATGTACAGGAGATCTGCCCAGCCCAACACGGGTGTCACTCTGGACACTTACCCACCCACACACTGGCACTAGCTCCCTGGCCCCACCTACTACACAATTCTTGATATCTGATAGAAGTACAGGCATTCTAGTAAGCCACAAAGGCACATTTCCAAGAAAAAAGACTTCAGAGGAAAACCAACAAGTTTTTCCCCACATGCATAAACATAAAAATACAAGAAAAATGAACATGGAAGACAATAGAACTCCCCAAAAGTAACAATAAGACTTAAATACTAGACTGTGAAGACTAATACTGGCCAGCGCCGCGGCTCACTAGGCTAATCCTCCACCTTGCAGCACCGGTACACTGGGTTCTAGTCCCGGTTGGGGCGCCGGATTCTGTCCCGGTTGTCCCTCCTCCAGGCCAGCTCTCTGCTGTGGCCAGGGAGTGCAGTGGAGGATGGCCCAAGTACTTGGGCCCTGCACCCCATGGGAGACCAGGATAAGTACCTGGCTCCTGCCATCGGATCAGCGCGCGCACCAGCCACGGCGGCCATTGGAGGGTGAACCAACAGCAAAGGAAGACCTTTCTCTCTGTCTCTCTCTCTCTCTGTCCACTCTGCCTGTCAAAAAAAAAAAAAAAAAAAAAAAAAAAGACTAATACTGAAGACTATGAAGAAGTATTAGACGGGGGGGTAGGGGGAGGGGGGGAGGAGGAGGAAGAAGAAGAGGAGGAGTAGGAAAAAGAAGAAGAAGAGGAAGAAGATGAGGAAGAGGAGGAGGAGGAGGAGGAAGAGGAGGAGGAAGAGGAGGAGGAAGAGGAGGAAGAGGAGGAGGAGGAAGAGGAGGAGGAGGAAGAGGAGGAAGAAGAGGAGGAGGAGGAGGAAAAAGAAGTGGAAGAGGAAAAAGAAATTATTTGGAACCTACAGGATACCATCAACTGACCCAATACACACATGTTAGCAGTTCCTGAAGGAATGCAAAAACAAAAATGGCTTAGAAGACTTATTCGGTAAAATATTAGAAAATTTCCATAATCTGGGGAAAGACATAGAAATCTAAGTTCAGGAAGTACATAGAACCCCATATAGACATGAGCACAAAAGATCTTTACCATAACATTCAAGTCAAACTTTAAAAAGTGAAACATAAAGAAAAAATCCTAAAATGTGCAAGAGGGAAATAACAGATTACCTTTAAAGGAACTCCAATTATATTGACAGTAGATTTCTCATCATAAATCCTACAAGATAGGAGAGAACAGACGAACATAGTACAAGTCCTAAAAGAAAAAAACTATCAACTCAGAATACCATACCTTGCAAAGATTTCCTTTATAAATTAAGTAAAAATGTAGACCTTCCAAAACAGACAGACATTCAAAGAATTTGCCACCACCTGGCCTTAAAAATGATACTTAAGGATATGCAACACACAGAAATAGAAAAAAGATAATCAGCATCATGAAACAATGTAGGCAGAAAACTTCCTATCCAAAGATATCCAAAACAAACAATGGGATTATGTCTGGAAAAATCACAGGCCCAAGTCATTACTTATCAATAATAACTTTGAATCCAAGTGGACTATGTTCTCCAAATAAAAGATACAGACTTGCAGAATGGATTAAAAAATAAGACCCACCTTATGCTGTCTACAAGAAATACACCTCACAAGCAAAACACACACACACTGAATGTGAGAGTATGGAAAAAAATATTCCATGAAGTTGAAATAAAAAATGAGCAGCAGTAGTTATCCTACTATCTGACAAAATAGACTTTAACACAAAAACTGTTAAAGGGGACAAAAAAGAGTATTATGTAATGATTAAGGGATCAATTCAACATGAATAATTAATTATAGCAAATGTATATGCACCCAAGTCCAGGGCATCTGGTTATTTATGACAAATGTTATGGATCTAAAGGGAGACATAAGCTCCAATATGATAATAATGGGGGACTCAACACCCCACTCTCATCAATGGACAGATCAATAGAAAAAAACAAACAAACAACAAAACAAAACCAACAAAGAAACAAGTATTGACCAAATGGATCTAACTGATATCTATAGAACACTTCAGGGAAGAAATAATTAAAATTGAAAAAGATCAAGGAAATTAAGGTCTGGGTTTTGGCAACAAGATGGAGGAATCTGGAACACATTATGCTGAGTGAATTAAGCCAGTCCCAAAGGGACAAATATCATATGTTCTCCCTGATCAGCGACAACTAACTGAGCACCAAAGGGGAAACCTGTTGAAGTGAAATGGACACTATGAGAAACAGTGACTTGATCAGCTCTTGTCCTGACTGTTGATGTACAATGTAATACTTTATCCATTTTAGTATTTTTTTTGTTCTAGTACTATTGGTTGAACCAATAACCAATTATTCTTAGGTGTTTAAATTTTAACTGAAAAGTGATCCCTGTTAAATATAAGAGTGGGAATAAGAGAGGGAGGAGATGTACAATTTGGGACATGCTCAATCAGACTTGCCCCAAATGGTGGAGTTAGGAACATGCCAGGGGATTAAAATACAATCCCATCAAGGTTGCGTGTACCAATGCCATCTCACTAATCCAAGTGATCAATTTCAGTTCACAATTGATCACACTGATAGGTCTAACAGTCAAAAGGATCAAACAAACAATACTAGTGTCTGCTAATACTAACTGATAGAATCAAAAAGGGAGAGAACAATCCAACATGGGAAGCAGGATACACAGCAGACTCATAGAATGGCAGATGTCCTAAACAACACTCTGGCCCAGAATCAGCCCTTAAGGCATTCAGATCTGGCTGAAGAGCCCATGAGAGTATTTTAGGCATGGAAAGCCAAGACACTCGGGGGGGGGGGGGGGGGGGGACGCCTAAATGAAC